CTAAGAGCGACCGGCGGAATAGCAGAGGTTCTAATATTGTGTTTGCGTATATAGGATTTACGGATGTATTCTATATTAGCTCTATCGTCTAGAAATAGTTCTACGTCTTATGTTTCTACTATCTTCTATCCGACTTTGCTATTAACTATAAAGTAATAAGAGATAGGAGGCAATTTATTAGATTCTTCTTCTATAGACGCCTTTAATAAAAGTGCTCTCGGTTTATATAGAGGGGATAGAGTTAATACATCCTATATCGGACTATTACTTGTTACGCTTAAGTAATAGTCTAAGCATTTCCCTAGCTATTGCTAGGAGCGCCTAATCGGCGCGTAGAAGGGCGCTCGTATTCGTCGAGCGGGCAAGCGGCTTTACTAGCGGAGTATCCTAGTCGGCGGTAACGGATACACGTACTAGAGGTTACTAGTTAGATACGCATTTCGGCAGTTATAGGTTCTAGATTCTTAAACTTATCTAGACGCTTATTCTATAGGCGTAGTAGCTTGCTAGTGTTTAGCGAGCGACTACGCGGAGCCTTAGCTAAGACGGTAGAAGCAATAGCTATATATGCGGCTGCGGCGGTTCCTAGTAGTAGAGCCTTGCCGGTAGGAGGTATAGTCGTAGTCGTATTTGTAGCATTCTTCTTTGCTGCTTCGGCTGCCTTCTTAGCTATGTCTGCTAATTTCTTTGCGGTATCGTTAGTAGGTAGCTTACGAGGGAAGTCGATCTCTAAGCGCTTAAGCTTGTACTTAATGTCCTAGTACAACTTAGCTAATCCGTTTTTAGAGTAATATACTTCTATTACGAGGCGGTTGCGGTATTTGAAGTTAAGTTTCTTCTCGAGACGACGTATAGCTAGCTTCTTGCTATATACGTCTTCTAAGGAAGGAATACGAGCGGCGTACTACTAATACTTCGCATAGAAGGAGCTAAAGTTCTTAGAGTTACCCTACTTTAGCGCATCTATCGAATCCTAAGCCTTTTCGATACGGTCGTGCTCGGTAAAGTACTTATCTATAAAGTCGAACATCTCTCGAACGGATTTAAACGGCTTAGATAAAGTAGTTAGGTCCTTGCGCAATAGGACTATTAGGACGTATAGCTTTAATATCTTATATACGAGACTATTAGGGTCGGTATAACCGTAGATAAAACGTAGAGCTAACGAGACATCGCGGAAGCGAGTAATACCGAGCTTAGTGCCGAGTGTAGTATACTAGGTATTAAGATCGATCCTAATAATTTGACCCTTAGAGTCGCGATCTCCCTTGAACTTAGTAGGCTTGTCTACATTACGAGAGGTCTTGAACTTATCGTATAGTATCGGGTCGTAGCTAACCGGATTAATAGCCTCTTCCTCGTCTAAGCTATCGCTATCTAAACCCTTTGCTAACTTTAACTTCTTAATCTTCTTGCCCTTCTTAGACTTCTTAGACTTCTTAGATTTCTTAGGCTTCTTACCTTCGTTATCGGAGGAGTTATTATCGGAGGAAGAGGGTAGATTGTTATCTCTACCCGTAAGGTCGATTAGTAGCGGCTTACTGCCTATACTAGCATCGCCCTTATTATTATTATCTCTAGGCGGTAGAGGTAGCGGGCTACCGCGACGCCTACGCGATAGGGATCGAGAGAGCGATAATCGGCGATCGTTAGGCGAATTAGTACGAGAAGTAGGGCGACTACGCCGAGCGTCTACGAGGTTACTCTTAAGTTAGCGGATCTTAGTATATAGATTAGCTATATCTTATACGGTCGGAGCGTTAGGATCGGATACCGTATCGAGTACGACTTAGAGGCGAGCTATATTGCCCTTAGTATCGATAAGCTTCCGCTAAGCTTCTATCTCTACTGCCTCTATCTTTTTAGCCTACAGCCGGTACTCCTTTATATATGTCTTATACTTCTCGACATCGGCTACGACTAGGTTCTAAGAGAGCGTCTTCCTATAGGAGTCTATCTCTTTCTATAGAGTCTCGGATGCTTTAGCAACGTGCTTTAGCTTGCTATTCGCCTCTTTATACTTCTTCTTATTAAGTTCGTTTGCCTTAAACAAGACAGAGCATTAGCGGATCGTTTTACGATAGTCCAATTTAAGCTATCGTAGTAGTAAATAGATCGAATCGTTGTCTTATAACACTATAGAAGCGAATTGCTCGGAGGTTAGCTTCTAAAGGGATTTCAAGGGGATAGTAATAGTCGTTAGTAAGTCGGCTTTAGTCGCCGTATCGTAATCGATTGCTACTTCGTATTACCTAGTCGTATTATCTTTGCGGATATAGGTATCGTAGATTAGTTTAGAGAAATTAAAAGTCGGGGCTAGAAGTTCTAGATAGGTCGCGTCTTAACGATCTCTATACTCCTACTTAGGACCTTCTAGTAATTTCTCGAGGATCTCCTTCTCTTACTCGGAGTACTAGTTAGAGGGGAACTCGCCGGGAATAGCGGCTTGTGTCTTATTATCGGGTCGTATAAAGAGTGCGGATTCCCGCGTAGTACGCCGATAGCGCAGTCGCTTAGGACGCGCTATAGCGGAGAGAGTATATACAAGAGGTGCTAATACTTACTGTTGTATACTTACTCTTTGTTTGCTACGAGAGATATAATTGCGGATACTCGAGTCGGGCGCGTATATATTTTATATAGAATAGCGTACTCGGCTAAGTATAGGGCGGATTCGAGTAGAACGCGTCTATCTTCTTATAGGCTACGTTCGAGCGAGTTACGGATACGGATACGGATACGGATATGCGAGGCTATCTCTTTATAGCGCTACGCGGTAGCGATTTCGAATACGAGTGTCGGATACGGTTTCGGATACGAGTTTCGAATAGGTAGATTGCGTAATACTAATATAGCAGTATCCTATAAGTATATAGTTCGCGAAATGTAACGGAGACCTTATATTCGAGGTAACTACAAAGTCGCGAACAACTATCTAAGAGGTCGTAGGGACTGAGTGTTTAAATAGGGATCCGGAGGTACTAAGCTACGGCACGGCCCGTACCGGGCTTTTACGTATTAGACTCGCATATAAAGGGCTTGCCCGTAACAGGCTAGGAGGATAGTCGTTCCTCCTAAACCCTCTATAGCCTTACCGCTTTAGTACCTATATTACTTTATTAACGTTAGCGCTTAGGGCAGAGGGGAATAGTCGTCGTAGGCTCCTCCTAAACCCCCCGTACCTACTACGCAGACTACTCCTACCTTTACTTCTTATAGTATATAGGTCCTAGTCTAACTATTTAGTACAAAGCTTGATATCGTTAAGGTAGTCTTTAGTATATAAGAGGTTAGAGGAGGTTTTGCTCCTAATATGCCTAAGGCCGCCGTCGTTATCGTATTAATTACTTTTATTAGCGTAGTTTGCTAGAAATGTGCTTAATCGACTTAACTCGGTCGACTTCGGTCTAGATCCGAGATTAACTAATTAACTAATTAACTAAATAATTAAATAGGATAGGTATAAGGCTACTAACTTATTAATTGCGATAATGTCCCTTCTAGTCGCTAAAGTAAACCCTTAACTAGCTTCTTATCTAAATCTTACCTCGCTACCTATCTTTTACGCTTCTAACTGCACTACTATAACGCTAGCGATAGTAAAGGGATATTAGTATATAAGAATTGCAGCCGTGCGTCTAATTACAATACGAGCGCGTCCTTCTGCTATAATAGTCGAGCGTAAGAGGTATTATAGTACTACCCCCGCTTTAAGTGTATTCGTCCGAGTTCTTTACGTCTACTCTAGAACAAATAGACCTAGCCCCCTTTTCTTCTTAGACGCACGCAGATTACATAATCTATCTAAACTAAGCTAGGGTACCGAGTCGTAATTTTAGCAGGTTTCTTAAACCGCCGTAAGCCGCGCTAGCTAGGTTCTTAGTTGCCTTCTAAACTAACTATTATAAATAGTAGAGGGGCGTCGGTACCCTATTTAACCCGATAGTTTCGTTAGCTAATTAACTAGGTTAAGCAGCTATAAATGTTTACTAAAAAACTCAGTTCGTCTAGTTTCTATAGACATACTACGGTATACGCCGAAGAGTAAGCGTAGTAGTTATATTTACTTAGTTAACTTGTAATATATCTCGAAGGGCTAGGGTATAACGAGATTTAACCCGCTAGAAAGCCCCGGCTAATTCGCTCTATAGTTTTACTCTAGTATTGTCCTTTCCTTTTAATCTAACCCTTCCTATCTCTTTTAGTCTAGTCGCGTACGGTCTTACGTACAGTCTTGCTTATAGTCTTACGCGCGATCTTGCTTAAAGTTTTACGTAATAATTAGGGCATAATTATACGTAAAGTCGGCGCGAGAGGTATACGTATATTTAGCGCAAGTAGTATAGTCGGCACGTGTATCGCGTATATTAGTTAGTTACTATTGTAGTACTAGTTGTTAGTAACGTAAAGATCTCTTCGAGCCTAAGGTTGCGGTTACGTAGGGAGGACATCTTTTCTGCTAATAAGAGGGCTAGAATGCTTTTATATAGGCGCATCTTTAAATTCAACCCCTACGCTAGTAGATAGTAATACGCCTTCTACTACGTAGAAGGCCGTACGCTACCTGCCTACGCAAGAAACTACCTACTAAGACTGATTGTTATCCGCCGCTCGCCTACTGTTTTTAGACCTCTGTTTCCGTGTCCTCGTCGCAAGCTCCTCGAATACTCTAACTTCGGCCTAAAAACATCTAGCTTCGCTCGGATTATATATAGCTAGTAGGGGGGGGGTGTTTATTTTTATATATAAAGGATATCTCTTGCCTTGCTGCTTGCTTTCTTCTCTAATAGTCTGTAATGCGGACAGACGGACGGACGGATCTAGTAATAGTAGAGCAGAGTCGGAAAACGTAGAGATAAGAGATTAAAGAAGAGGCAGAGGAAGAGTTCTTGTTACTACTACTTAACGGATGAATGAATGAATAATCTAACAAAAGACGTTGGCTATACCTATAGAATACATTTCTCTTATATTCTTGCTTTTTTTTTCCTGCCGTGATTTTAGGGGGAACCCACAGATACATGTATGTAAAGGGAGAGCGATGGCACGGCGAATGAGAATGAGAATCTGGAGTATCTACAGCTACCTTATATTCGGTGTATGTGCTGCTTTGTTTTTTTTTCACTTCGCTTTGAGGGTATTTTCGCTTGGTAGGTAGATTCGGAGATGTTCAGAGCTGCAAGGCTTTGACTCGTCGAGGGCGAGGGCGAGGGCGAGTCATACATGGAGATGGATGAATGCTACTTTCTCTCGAGACAGTGAGATTGGAAAGGCTGGGGTGGGCGTGTGAATGACTGAGGCGGAAGATTGTAAATCGAACATGATTGTGCTGTGCGAGCATTAGGAAGAGGTCCGCACTGCGGAATGCACACCACCCTCCCTGCTCGATTTGCGAATACCCGATGCTGTGTTCGTGGGATTTCTTGTTTATTCGTTCTGGAACGGTCGTGTGCTTGATTGTAACCACCTTGTTGTGTGGCTGTGAGGAGATCAGCGGATGGAGTGCTGACGTTTGGAGATTCAAGTACGAACGATAGGCATTACGGTAAGAATTCTGACCATAGCATTATCCATCCATCCTCGTCTGGAGTGTGGTCACTCCTTTACCTGTTTTCGGAAATTTGTTGGATGATGGCTGGATTAGAATCGAGATAATTGAATCTGAGGCGAGCTCCTTCGTGCTTGTGCTTCCCCAGCCGCTACCCGCGAAGAACATACGTATCTTCCATAGCCACGCATCGGGCTTCCCCCTCGCCCTGCTCTCGTCCTACTGATCATGCTATGGCCGGGATCGTGCACAAACTCCTGTTCTGCGGAAACACCGAGGGACTGGTTGGTGATGGACCCGTGTCGCTGTACTGTCATTCATGCCGTGCACGAGGCACTTGTCACGTCGATGAAACGCCGGTCGATGAGGGCGGGATTTGGTCTATTGCAAGGCAGTCCCTTGATGGGTGATAAGTCTACGGAGATTCTCATAAGCTACGGTAGAGGTGCATTAGGCAATATTGGATGTTAGATGCTTGAACCTGGAGCTTGCTGATGAGGTCGGTTGCACTCGCGTTGGCATATGAGCTGAGGATGTGATGGAAGGAGTTGGTTTTGCCAAGGATGGGAGAATGTTCTTTCTTTGTTTCTGACCAAGTTTTGACTTGTAGCCATGTTCGGGGAAATTCCACGCCAACGAACTCTGCGTGACACCTGTCAGGTAAATTTTCGGATCCAAGATAAACCGTTCGCAACCCAACCTGTTGTCTTGTCAGCTGAACGAGACGTCTTGCTTGCCATCACGGAGAAGGCGATGGAGTGGAGAGCGCGATGTTCTGAGCCTCGACCCTGGTAGCCTGCCTGCTGCAAAATTTTGGCGACTCTGTGCCGTAGCATCCAAGCATGTCCTTCACACGAAGGACCCGTCTCGCTGGAGGTATGCCCGCGACTGGGACACCTTCATCCAGCACTCTTCCTGCTGTCCAACCACTGATGATCAGCATCGATCGTGTAGCAAACATCGAAATTGTGTTCCAAAACGCGGATTTCTGCCGTGAGCACAGTGTCGTCTGGTCTGTCTTGAGCATTCGAGACGGACCTCAGGGAGGTTCTGCGCTCGCAGAAAGGGCAGATGAGGAGTACACCGAAACAGGTCTTGTTGTCGTGTGACTGTTCTAATCACGTGTAGACGCATGCCTCACGCCTAGATCACTATTCGGCTACCTTTACCACCAGCGATCACGACGTGGCTATGAGCAGATCGAGGCATGTGGAGGATGCGGGAGCGAGCTGCTGACCACACCTATGCCCCGTCACCCTTCGGAGAAATTACGTCGACGCGCCGTGGAGTGCTGACGCCGATCATGAAACCTGCTGACTTCTTGACGACTATCTTTCAGGGGCTTGGGTGAACTTCATCAAGCCAGTTGCGCCATCCCCAGTCGGAGGCGTTGAGATGCAGCCCCTGCCCCGGGAGACAACATGGTAGGGAAAGGTCTACACTCGGCATGCTCACGATCGCTTACCACTGCGATGCGGTGGATGCGGGAAACCAGGTTCTCGGATGTAAATTTGAGATTGGGTAGCAGGCGCCAGTGTACATACCGGATGCACAGCTTGCAAGGTACAGCAGGTCCCCTTGATAAGCTCAGAGCCACGACATGGCGGACCTTTCAATGCCCTGATCAGGATAAAGCCATGTTGCACTCTCTTTCACTATAGTGTGATATTAGCTGTTTGAGACATTTGCACGGACCAGGTGTTCGTCGGTCTTTGTGAAGGAGATGTGGTTAACGTGGAGCACAGGAACGGCACGTGCGGTGTGCGATTTTGTCGACAGTCAGTTCGAGTGTGTAGTGGCGCTGTGCTGCGTCGAAGAGTTGTACCAGGTGCAGATCTCCCATAGACGCAGTGCATCAGTGCAGGACGTCTGCCAGTGTCTGAATGCGTGCAGCGCCCGGTCGATGGTGCAGATTGCGCATGCTCGCCAGAAAGGGTTCGAAACGGGTGTCGATTGATCACGAGAACACGGACAGGCGGCTCCGCAGCGCGCAGTGATCGGAAGTCTCTGACAAATTCGCGGCTGCTTCCTGTCGAGTCGCCGGGGTGAATGTCACAGGATCGAGGTGTTGTTTGTCGTGCAAGTGAGAGCGGGAAGCAGCGTTTGTTGGGAGGTCTCGAGAGAGGCGCTGCATGCTCGGCCATTTTGGCTCATTCGCGCTAATCGTCGCCAAGGTCACGCTTTCCCGGTCGAGCGCCGGCTAGACGACCAGCCCATCGTTTCAGGATTCGGACTCGAATGGGGATTCTGGTCGGCCTGGGCGAGGCGTCCGGCTCGTCTTGCTTGCAGAGGAAAGGCTCCGTCACGTGGTCCAGGCCGGTGGAGGTAGGCCGTCGAGGGCTTCGGCTTCGGCGGCGGCGGCGGCGGGGCCAAAGTGGCGGTGAAAGAGGTGCCTGGAAATGCCAACGGACTTCTGCAGGCATCCGTGAGACTCGTTCCTTGTGGCGACATCATCAGCACATGGCGTTGGCGTTGAGCCTGCCGACTTCTCACGACTCGAGGCCGCGCTGGTGCCTCCTTGGTCGGCCGGGCGCGTACCGTAGATTAACACATTTGTCCGGGCAGATTGGTGAAGCGTCAGTGGTAGCCAATCGATGGCCCGCGCGTCAGCAGCGAGTCTCCAGCGGCGAGCAGGCGTCCGCGTCATGAATGCTCATGACATGTGGCAGCAGGCGTCAGCGCGTGGAGCTGCGCTGAGCTGAGCTGACCTGATAGACGTCTGCTGAGCGCGGAGCCTAAGAAGGCGACAGCCGTGGAATGTGTACAGGCACTGGAAGTCGTTCGAACTTGCACGTCGAAGCAGCAAACTTTGTGTGGTGCGCCAAGCCCCGCGCTCATTGGCTCGCTTGTGCCGTGCGAAGACGTCGCCTCGTCGTCGCTGCTCCTCTGTCTTCTCCATCCGCGTGCATGATGGCTGACATGGATCAAAGATCGAAGCAAGGGACTTTTGGTTGACCTGCGCAATACTTGCAGCACGCCGCCACAAACGGCACTGGCCCGCAGCGGGCGCATCTGCCTGAAACCGAGGATTACAGTACAGTACATTTGACCATGGCCTCCTTTTCCGTACGGACAGCGGCCACCACAGCATTATTGTGCAGGGCAGCGCGAATCCAGCGAGCGCCGCCTCGAACGCCCTGAAACAAAGAGCGCTGCTCCAGCGCTTAATTGCGACTAAATCGCTCGGGCGCGGTTACTGATGCACTTATTGCGCAATGTGGCTGGTCATGGCGCCAGAAAATACTTGACGGGGAGCGGAGAGTACATAGAACTGTCAGCGTTTCGCGTGACTATCTGCAGGCGCGCCGGAAGCCGTGGCAAGAGGCCTTTGTGACAGGTTGTGTCTTCAATGCTTGGGCCGGCCATTTCTTGGGAGCTGCCGGCTAGCCTGGTCGCAACGACTTGCATACAGCACATCGGGACCCGGGCCGATCGGGAAAGGTCCAGGGCAGTATTCTGGTAGGCTCGCTCCGTAGCGTGTCGAGGCTCTTGACCAAGCTGCACCAATGCTTCAGTGGTCCATGGGATCATCATACACACCGGGCTCTGGAGAGGTGGAGAGAGAAGGCTCCCGTCCTGCGAATGGATCCATCGCGCACGGCCTTTCTGCAAGATGTCGGGGCCATGTGGAGCAGGACATGTCGCAATCAGCGCAAGCGTCGGCTTGCTGGATGTGGGTACTGTATTTCGAAGATTGCCATCAGTGCACTCGAGGCTTTCGAAGCAAGTCAGATGAAGACTCTGCAAGGAAAATTCGATCAAGTGCATCAAGAGAAGGATGACGGGGCGAATCGATACCTCCTGGCGTCGGGGGTTATGAATAGGCCGGCCGCATTGGGCGGCGGAAGTGGGCTACAGATGCAGCTTCCCACTGCGACCTGCGAGGTGGCAGTGTGGTCTGAGCGTTCTTTCAATACGATCAATACTCTGAGGCTGATGTGACCCGGCAAAGTGGTAACGATAGCCAGACCTGGTAGTCATTTTCTGCTGTCGGCCAAGGTCGGTCATGACGCTTGTTAGAAGTAGGACATGCTGGCCAGCTATCCCTACCAGGTCGACACAGGCCTTGCTGCTGCTGCTGCTGCTTCCTTCCAAACAACAACGTCCTTCTGATCCGGCGATATCAACGAACCAGGGCTGGCATTTGTACCTCTTTAAGCTCGCCCTCGACCTGCTGCCACTTTAATAGTACTTCTTTGTTCACAGCCTCATCCACAGGCTGCCACAGGGTGATACTAAGCGGGTGTCACGAACGACGCCAAACTAACGTACTTCCAACATACCGCAGTGTTCTGCAGATCTACGCGACCACTCCCGCTATCGACGACATATATCGACCCCAGGCACTTCACGCCGCCCGTTCGGCATCAACGGTTCAACGATACTACTACACCTCAGCACGCACAACTCGATCTCACGTCGGCAATCAGCTGCACCAAGACAGAGTCTGCGCAACGGTGCACGTCTGGAACGGGACTGCTCGCCAGGAGTGCAGAGAGACGGGCTGATTGTCGAGCATTGTTCAGGGTGAGTAGCGTCCAAGACATCCTGCTGCATCTGTCACGCATGCTGCTTTGGCTACTGCCTTGGCCACTTTCCATCTCCGATGATGCGCACCTCGAGTCGATCTTTGGAAAGCAAGCTGTCTCGCCGAGCGAAGCGGTCTCGTACGCCTTTGCAGGATCAACGAGTCAGCCAAGGATGGAGCGTCGGATTGCAATCTGCGGCGACGGGCGAGATGGAGGCCGAGCTCAGCATCGCGCTATCACGTCCATCGACTCTCAGCAGGCTGGCGTGGCGCTTGAGTTGTTGATGGGGATGCTGACGATGGACAGGGCATGCGACGTTGAAAGAAAGACGGCCGGCATCCAGCGCACCTCTGAAGTCAAAGCAATTTGGACTCCTGCTATCCGGAAGTCTACGCTGCCTTCCGCTGCAGCTTGCGAACGGTCGACCTCTCGTCCAGAAGCGAGTGCCGTCCTGATTCGTCGGCCAGCAACGCGTTCCGTCATCGCGCCGACAAACTCAACCGGGCGGGCCGAGCAGGAGCGGCACGCTGCTAGAGCGCTTGGACCAATCTATCGACTCGGCCAAGCAACGACGAGTCGATCGATTGATTGATCGGCAGACTCGAGCTCGTTGGGCGCGTTGGCCAGAAGGGAGCAGAAAGCAGTGTCTGCCATCTGATCGTCGAGTTGCGGCTCGCGGCTGAGCGAGCGCCTCCACAGCGACGAGCATCAACAGGCCCGGCCAGGCCAGGCCAGGCGATCGCGTCAATATATGGGCTCGAGTGCGTTCAGGATGGATCAAGGTAAGCAAGCTCGTTTCGTTTCCTCATGCCGGCTCATGCACATGCATACCGCGCTCCCACGCCCGCCATCTCAGCCGATTCTCCTTGTATTCGGCCCGCACGCCCGCGCAAGAATGCTCGCAGAATCCAAGCCGCCCGCCATCCCACCAACTCACCTTGCATGCCCGTTGCTCGTGTGACGTTGGAGGGCGATGCGATGGATGCGATGGATGCGATGCTTCCCATCCATCATCGTGTTTCGCCCCAATGAGCCGCTCCGTTTCAGACACAGCCAAACGGTTCAGTCAGCCACGTTGTGCGACGCTGGGCGATGGGCGTGGGCGTGGGCGTGGGCGTGGGCGTGGGCGGTGCTCACGTGCGAGCTGCTGCCTCAACACTGCCCATGCCGACCAGACATTCGCATTCGTGGCCTGCAAGTCGTTCTCGCCTTGCATGGCACATCGCATGTCGACGCACGTAGCTTGCTCTGCTAACGTGTCCGTGTCCGCGCAGGCCCGATTCTCCAGCAGCAATTGCCACTCGACCACTATTCGCTCTCCGACCACCACGACTACAACGACCAATATCCGGGCCATGCGCATCACGCCGCCTACACTGCCGGCGGTGCCGTCGACCACATCAGGCGTGACGGCGCCGCTCCGCTTCAACCACATGCACCTCAGCCTTTCACCTTCCCCTCCACTCACAGCGCAACGGGCACTCGCTTCGTCAGCGATCGCGCGGTAGCCTCAGACGCCAGCAGCAGGTGAGTGTGCTGCTCTCATTGGCTCTCCAGCTCGCTTCTCGCTTCTCGCTTCTCGCCCCGCCCCGCCCCGCTCCGCCCCTCCCTGCTCCTCTCGGCTCACCCTCACTCCTCTCCGCCTTTCTTCCCAAGGCGAATCACGGCAATTGCCCAGAGTGCATGTCCATGTGCGAACCTCCTGCATCGTCGACTGTAGTCGCACAGAATCCCGACAGAGCGGCCTCCTATCGCACTGCCCGCTGTGCCATCACACGACGAATTATGTCATCCACGCGCTGCCCTGCGCTGCGTCGCTGCAGAAGCCTTTCGCTTGCCCAGAACCTATCCCGTCACCCGCAACACGTTACACATTGTCACCCTCTCCCACCCTGCCCTTCCCATCACCTCCACTGTGTGCCCTCTTCTACCATGTGATACGCTAATCGGATCCTGGGCTGTAGCTACCACGCATCCAACAACTTCACGGATTCGAGTTCCGCCTCCATCTCCACCAGTCCGTCTTCAGCCGCCGGCTCGCTCGCGCCGCCTTACACAAACTACCCCCATCACAACCAGTGCACAAGTCTAGCAAGCTACTCGGGAGCCGTGCAACAACCCCAGTCGTTCGTGCCAGCAATCTACAACACTCGAGTACCGTCGATGTAGGTAGCCATGGGCGCACGGCAGCCTCGTCACATCACTGGTCATTGACCCAAGCTCACACATGCTTGACAGTTTAGACACCACGGCCTCTGGCATGCTCCCGCCTCCCAATCCTGGGATACGATCACCGATATCTAGCTCGACCCATGCGACCGACCGCGACCCATTAGCCACTTCAACTCCTTTCTTAGCTCGCACGCAATTGTCGCCAGGCTCGCAGCCTGGATACGCATCCTTCCAAGATACACCACGAACCAGTTACGGCCTTTCCAACTTGTCCCTGTCTAACCACCACTACCCTCACGGTCACCCTCACGGTCACATGGCGTCGCCCACCTACGGCAACCAGCAGAATGACTGCACCAACTTTCCGTGGCCCAATCTGGAAGTCCAAGCAGAAATGACCTGCGAAGGTCAGTCAGTCACACCCGAGGTTCACGCCAAAGTCGAAAAAGGCTTCTTCTTGTCGACCGTTGACCAAAAGTGGACTTGCTATCGCCGCAATTATTTCTCTGTGCAATGTCACTTCGAGTTGCACCCGAACATCAACAATGGCCGCATGCACTTGAAGCGCAACAACAATCAACACACGGAGCAGATCCAGGCCATGGGTATGCGGCTATCTGCTGCAGTAGATGGCTCGACGGGGAAGCTCATTGAGCTGATTCAGCACACCCCGAAACGCGACCATGGCCCAAAGACCAAGATAGATATTGTCAAGGTTCCGCCAACCCCATCTACGGGACGAAATGATCACACCGTATCACCACACGGAATCTACTCAGTGCCGATCCAAGCATTCCATGCCACTGGTCAGGTACCTGGGCCGTTCCTGCCCTTCCAGCACAGCTCCGATGGCTCGTCATCCACCGCGACCACACAAGCGTCAAGCATGACTTCTCACTACGGCTACTCGGCAAGCGCTGGTGGTCATATCCCCACGCCGGGTCAGAATCCTGCGCACACCTTCGAACGAGTACAGTTCAAGCAGGCAACTGCGAATAATGGCAAGCGACGTGCATCACAACAGTACTTTCACCTCATCGTAGAACTCTACGCCGATGTCCGGAAGGAGCAAAACGATGCACCTCAGTGGGTGAAGGTCGCGCATAGAGTGAGCGAGAAGATTGTCGTTCGCGGAAGATCGCCGAGCCACTACCAGAATGAGGGCCAAAATCAGAACGGCAGGACTGGGAGCTCAAGCGGCGGCAGTGGTCACAGCTATGCGGCAACTACAACCTTTGGTAATATCTCCTCGGGCGGCTTCCGATACGGCTCTGGTGCATCTGGCACTGCTCTGAGCGGCGGCACATATCGTACCAATGCGTATGGCTACCATCCGTCTCCCGAGCATTCTGGCAGTAGCGCATCGAGTGTGGACGGCGGAGCTGAGAACGACTATCCAGCCGATTCCGTCATGTCCGATGCAGAACGGAGCGACATGCAGGCTCACGAAGGCTATCGCTACTACCCTGCCCCACTTTATGAAGGTCAAGGACTTCCGCTTCCCAAGATTGAAAGCACTGCCCGGTATTCCACCGAACCATCATCCTGGGCGGTCAAGTATGAGAACTCTGACGCCGTCTCTGGTGCTCAGCAGTGGCCCATGAGCAGGTTTCAAGGCGTCGACTCAAGTCGCGGCTACTTCCCACAGGACCTGACCACGACATACCCATGATGATGATGATGATGATGATCGATACCGCCCAAGATGACTGTACTCAGAAGAAGCTCTCTTTTGTCTCGCATGTGCTGCGTTGGCCACTCTCAGAAAGATACACCAAGCTTGGACGGCTCTTTCGTGCGTCTCAGCAGCGCTGGCGCTCGACACGCGACGTGGAACGCCTCACGCGACGACGACTTTCAGCATGATGTTTTCGTTTTTGCCTCGGAGTATTTCGCTTCTCTTCACAATACCCCTCTTGACAAAGCCCATGTCAAAGCATTTTTTAATACAACTACATCGTTGCCTTTTCCGGCGATGGTTTGGGAGTTTTCGAGCGTTCTGGCGGCGGAAAGCATTTGCAGGGCGCAAAGAGGTGGATCAACGATGCTCGGCCTTATTAAGCCAAGGCACTGATGCACATGGCGTTATGATGATGGACGGCCACACGACAAAAACCCCTTTTGTTTTTCCTTGCCTTTCTTGAATGTATGACGTGAACAGAAATAGCAATTCGACAGCAGATAGTGTGTGTGTGTGTGTGTGCGAAGTAGACAGACAGCAAGATTCGGGACGAACAGCACGAAAAGAATAGAGAGCAGACCTGCTGGTTTCTGCGAAATGAGCAACGACAACGCAGCGCAGCGCAACGAATGACAAGAGGAAGATGGCAAAAAAGGTGATCGCTTGTGTTGTTGTGGGGAGTAAGAGTGGGCTAATGTGGAGAAGGAGATGTGGGAAAACTTGTTTTTTTTTTCGTTTTTCTGGAAACGACGCGAACTTATGCTTGACGAAAACTGGAACAACTATCCCCACCGACCGACTCTTGAGATACCAATTTTTGGGAGGTCCGGTCGTCTTTTTGTACCTTTACCTTGTTCCGATTTTAGGTAGTCTAGGTTCTTTTTTTTTTGTTTTGCGCCTTAGGAGGCCCCCGAATCTCAAATCTTCTTTGATTTCATAATGGAATTTTTTTTCTTTGGGGAAATTTTCTAAGTGAGGTAGGTTCTTTTGGTCAAATTCTGTCTGATGAAAGTTTGTTATAGATTTTTTTTCTGAGATGATGCTCGCTCGTCTTTGATTTTTTTTTTCCGCGTTAGCAGGATATATTCTCTATCCATTTTTTCTACGCTGCGACTTTATACGATCTTTTTATAATTGAAAGGTCTTTATAGCTTTGACTCTCATCTTGCCTCGCTAATAGCTTGAGTTCAAACGGTATAGCGTTGTTAATCCAAGCCGCAGACCTAGTTGACTTCGTTAGGAGCTCGAGGCTGCAGAATTTGCGCTAATTTCGTCCTTATATATATCTAATTTCTTTTAGTGCATGTTTAGTTCCGTAACATATACTTCTAGACTTAAGCGTAATGTTTCTAAACGAGTAGGGAGTAAATAAAAGACATGTTGAGCTATAATATTGTCGTCTTGTAGACTCCGTACGTTGAAGCCGGCGTTCAAGATTGAAAGCTTCATGCTAGATGAGTTGTTTTCTGGGTCGTGGTGCTACTTCATTCGTTTGGTGACGTAGACGTTTCTAATGCCTATCGCTATGCTTTTTGTTTCAAGACCTTTTTGCGCTTCTTCGAGGTGCTTCTCTTTCTTTCTAAGCATGATATGGAGAGCTGCGCACTTGTGTTGTAGAAGGTGAGCGCAGATCCCGACTTCCTCCTGTTACGACGTAGACTTTCCGGGATAGGTCGGGGATGTCTATGTTGGTTGGGGGTCAAATGTGTGCTTGCTTTTTGAGTATTTTGATGGGATTTTGTTCTGAGATGGTAGTGAGAGGGGGAGGAATAAAATCAGGAAGCGTTCTAGAGTGATATTCGACTGTGAAATGGAAGTAGCTGCCGCTGACATTCATGTTGTGTCAAGAGCCTTGTGATGCCGTTGATGGAGAAGTACAATGTATAGATGCTTTTGCCCGGCTGGAAGTCTCTTCTTCGGGAATCGAGAGACTATATGTATCGCCATGGAGGCTACAGATTTGACGATCCATCTCTTGTGATCAACATGATGGACTGGGAGTGAAGTCGAGAGGAAGAAGGATAGAGTTTCATCACACTTTCACCAGTCGGATCGGGCCGAAACGTTGCTGCCGGGCCCTGCTTCCCTGCTTGAACAGCACGAACCTCTTGATCGTCATGCCATACCATCGTGCCTTCACTTCTGAACTGTGTCTCTTCAAGACATCGTCGATATGGCCAAGCATGGAGCGCTGGAAGAATGGGCAACATGGCTATTCTCGCCCACATGGTCAGCAATGCTTTTCGCAGTCGTGGTGGCCATTGCACTCCCACTCATATTCCACTGGGCCTTGTACAGGAAGACGGCAGCAAAAGAGCTTGCAAGCTTCTTGCTTGTTGGACCGAGCGGATCTGGCAAGACCAGCCTGTTCACTTTGGTAGTGTCTCCCAAGTCGAGGATGGATCGATGTGTTGAGCTAATGATGATGACGACGATGATGTAGCTTGCAAACGGCAGTACAGCCACAACTCACACCTCCCAAGAACCTCAAGATGCCATCTGTCAACTGCCTTCGAAGATCCGCTCGTCAGAGGACAAGTATCGCTCTGAAAACGATAACGCTCCTCGATCGCAACCCAAGTTCCAGCTTGTAGACACTCCAGGGCATGGAAAGCTAAGACATCATGCGCTGTCCTCTGTGACCGCGAGTAGTGCACTGAAGGGGCTTTTGTTCGTGGTGGATAGCGCGGCTATAAGCTCGGCGGCGGGGCTGGCAGAAGCTGCAGAATTCTTGCATGATATCCTCCTCGTCTTGCAGAAACGTCATACCCAGAGTCGGAGCTCAAAGGGCCCAGAATCAATGCCTGTGCTGGTCGCAGCGAACAAGCAAGATGTCTTCACTTCGCTGCCTACGGCGATGGTGAAGACGAAGTTGGAGGAGGAGATCGCGAAAGTTAGACAGAGCAAGAGTAAAGGCGTTATAGACAGTGGCATTGATGTGGATGACAACCCTGTTGGAGACGATGAGCAGAATTGGCTTGGAGAATTTGGAGCCGGCGACTTCAGGTTTTCGCAAATGGAAGAGCATGGGATTGATGTCAAGGTCATGGGTGGTAACGTGAAAGGCGAGGGAGACCAGGCTGGACATATTGATGGCTGGTGGGTCTGGATCGGTGAGAATATCTAGGCGCGTATGCTCTCCGACGACTGCCATGGAGTCTCAAAACACCCATCTTCCATTGCCATCACCAAGAGATGTGCCTTCAGCTGATCCTTCTCCTCACATCTTGGTTACTGGTCTGGTGCAACATTGAGATCAAAGGAGTCTGGAACTAGTGGAACAAAGCTACTGCTTGAAGGCAGAGGCCTGTAAGCAAGCCTCTTCGCTTCCTTTCCACTATCCAAAGACTGCTCAAGACCATATGGCAGCCCGTGCGACTCGTGTAAAACTCGGCAACGACGATGTATACTTCGCAGTATGAGAGTCTGCTGCTGAAAATAAATGGACTTGGAGCAAAGGCCCATGCTGATCGCGGTCGACGCCGAGCAGTGCTATGCCCCCAGTGTTCCAGGGGAGCTTCGCAGTGGAGTTCGCTTGCTCGACTTTAGGAATCACGCCTGTATCTTTGATTACGAGGGGTTCAATGGCCGGAGTTGGCCGATTCACATGCGCGACGGCGGATATAATGGCTGGAAACTCTATATCAGGTGAATGCTACCAGAGGCATTTACTAAAACATTGGAAGAATTCCAACAGCCAAAATCAATGCTGATGCTGTAGTGCATTGCAGCAACTATAGCATCGGCATTATGCACTACAGCATCGTCCAGATCTGTTTGTAGCAACTTCATGGTCGTACCATGAGTGCCGGGATACATCGGTAGCGTAGTACTCTTCGGCACGTTCGCAAACGGAGAGCTAGTTGATTCTCTGTGGGGGAGCCCTCTATAGACACATGTTTCGCCAATTCCGGCGCATCTTGAGCATGTTGGTCTCAACTCATCGCACTGGCATCTATCAGTGAGAGCGGCTGCCGCGAATCGCCTAGGGATTGACTTTGACTCTTCGCCGCTTGCAATATCGGCAGCCTCCACGAGACTTCGTGTGAGCTTTGCGTGGAACGAAAGACTTCGGTGCAGATGGTACGATTGCTCCAGCCGAACTCGAAAGACAGATTGAAAGGGCCCGGTGGCCTGATCGGGAGCCATTGTCCATGTTCAGGATATATCGTTTTGTCCTCCGGCGTGGCCAGGCGCAGACTGAATACTCCAGATATCGAGTCAGAGCCTCGCGGTGCTATGGCTGAGGGATGCTTGGTCCATGTGACTCCATGGACTGCTGTTGCTCCAGGGCGAAGATGAAGCATTTCGTCGACCTCAGCACATTGGGTGGTGAGAGCAGTGCAGTGAAGACAGACCCCGGCCCGGTTCTCGGCCCGTGTGCCAGCAAAGATGGACTATTATTATCAACCCCATTGATAAGTGAGCTTGACAAAATGCCAGCAACATCCGCGAACATGATGGGGCGAGATCTTGACATCAGATGGAATTGTTCTATAATAGCGTATGTCTGCTGCACGTAATTTCTGATTCTTCCATTCCCGTCTTTCCGCCCTGCCATTTTTTCTTCCGCGACGCGACGCCACATCTGCCCGTGAGACACGGCTCGGATGAACATTTCTTAGTTCCCACACGGCAAGCACCAATAAATCATGGGTTTGATGGTCAAGACACGGCAGAACGCGGCTGCGGTGACATGATTCTTGGGACGTAAGCGCTAGGTGGATGTATGTATGTTGCGCAGCGAGATGTGGGCGGGAGAGAGAGAGAGAGAGAGAGTACTCTGAGAATATGCGGCATGCCGCCAATGAAGCGGCTTGTCCGATACATAGCTGGCTGGGCACCGGGAAGATGGTGAAGAGAGGGAGAGAAGACGGAGGTACCCGATGGTCGTGGATTTTGTACACAAGGCGGGTGTAAGAGACGTGATCAGATGTGTATTTCATTTCATTCTCATGAGCCTCGTAGCAGTCTAGAGCTGTCTATGGCTTGAAGTCGTAAACGAGCTTGACTCGAAGAACATCATTTCCCTTCCTGGACACCACACGTCGAACGTGTCTTCGCTGACCGTCAACCTCAGCAAAGCCCCAAACTTGGTCTGCGATCCAACCATTCTGCTGGCTCTCGGTGTGGCTCATAATGACATCGCCGTCCATGCATTCCTGTGCCCAGCCCTCCTTGAGGAAGTCATCTTCGGTGATATCTGCGACCTTGACATACCTAAATTTCGTCATTAGCAGAGGCTCAAGAATGAACTACTCAAAGAGCGACCGACTTGTTCCACCCCTTGACCTTGCCCCAGTACTGGATGTCACGATCGCCCCACTCGCCATTCATGATTCTCTGTTCCAGCTGCACCACACCACCGGTAGAGATTTGCTCTTGGTCGAGGTGGATGCCATCGCCCTCCTCGTATTGCTTGAGTTTGATCTCGATAGCGCTGTAGTTTGCGGCCTGTCGTACCAGCCAAGGAACGCCCTGCTGCTTGAGCATGTCGGCCGTGCCATCGGAAATCTTCTTGTTCATGTCGTAGTCCGCTGTCATATTATGGACGTTGATCTCTGGTGGGGCTGCCATCCTGGTCTGTCTGTATGCTGGATTGATTCCCTGTGTGCTGTTCCTGATGTAAGTAAGAGCTCGGGGGAAGAAAAGGTGCAGAAGAAGCTGCAGTGCATCTATAAGAATTTCCCCAAGCTAAGCGCGTGGTTCAGAGTGGCGCCGATAGAAACCAGACCACCGAGGCTCTGGGCTCGTGGGCAGCGGAATTCCTCAAGAGCGAGCCACGAAACCTGTAACAAGGCCGACAGCCTGAACGCCGGGTCGCAGGATGATTTGCGCGTCGGCTTGTTGGTTGTCGCTACAGCTACATGCGTTATCATCAGGTCAGATGAACAGCGAAACGAAGAAATACGGTGCCTGACGATCATCGCGACCACCGAGGTTCTCCAGCACAAGCATCTCCCATTGGTTCCGTGGAAAGTGGCCGAAGTTCAGCGGCAGCGTGAGGGGCGAAGCCGAGCGAGGTCCCACGCTCGTTCGTACAGTCGTACACAAGCTCAAGAAGCCACAAACGGCTCGGTGTCTGTAGAAATCGGTGGAGGTTGGTAAGAGAACTTGGAAAGAGGGGGAGGATGGAGAGGCCGCCGAAAAGTTCCACCATCTCCGGGAGTCTAATTGCGATTCAGCTTGTGCATTATCGTGCATTGTGCCTGTCCTGGACAGCTTCATGACGATTCTAGTGACGAGCAGGAGATATTTGACTCGGACAGGATAGGCGGTGACAGATTGAAGCAAGATTTCCCACATGTCCACATTTTTGCCCGCAGCTCCAACATACAAATGGGGACGGGCAAAACACAGCAGTTTGTGCCATCTCTTTGTGCAATTCGGACCGCAGGTTGGGTATTTATGCTATGTACAAGTCCACAAATCCGGCAGTCGTCAACGTGACGCGATGATGCGATGATGCTCATGCGTGATGTGGCGATATATGCTCAGGATGAGGGTTTCATCTGTCCACAGGCACTGCATGTCCACCATTTATGTTCCATGAAAGCGCCGCACCCATAGCAATTCCAACCCAGACTAGCATTTGGATCTGGTGGCTTCACAGGGAAGCGATCAGCCGAAGACATAGGCTCGGGCTTGATCTTTCGAGGAGGAGCTGTCTTTGATCGCCTGTCGTGACCACTGTTTGCTCGTGCGTTGACCATGACCGCTTGTGACCGCTCCACACCGCAGGCATCGCAGGCTAGGAATTGTAGCGGATTGATGCAAGTACAAATTTCGCAGCTCCACTGATCGCTATCGCTGCTCGGAAACGTCGTGAACGTTGATGGTAGTGCTTCAACTTCAAGATCGTCACTCTTTGCCTTGGCTGTGGCAGCTTTCTGTCTGCTCGACGATGCCTTCGGACTCAGATTGGCGTCAAGTTGTTTGCGCTTGGTTGATGTCGTATCCGCCGACGAGGACGGCTTTGAAGCAAGTGGAACTGGAGGCGCAGACCTCCTCTGGTCGCCTTTCGAAGGTTCTTTTTGCTGAGATGGCAAATCAGGACTCGCAAGTCTAGTGCTTTCTTCCATTGCCCATTTCAGCTGATCCTCCTCACTAGGATGGTTCTGGTGGTCAATGGAAGGCAGATTCATGCCAGCACTGTAAAGTCCATTCTCAGGACTCCACTCGAGACCGCCGCTGCCGGATTTCTCCACGAAAGTGCCGTTCAGCTTCTGCTCTTCCTCCTCCTCCATCAACTCGTAAAGCGCCTGTGCGATGGCTCTGTTGTTAGCGTCATCCTCTTCGGCCTTCGTCTTGAAGGTATTATTCGACGATTGCTCTGACAGCTTGCCGGCATCGGATCGCCCTGAAGCACATCCCTTATTAATGGTGTTGCGTCGGGTGATCTGGTCAGTAATGACTTTGCGCACATCACCTCCAAGCTGATGAATTGCTCTTCCACCAAGTCTCTGCCCAGAGCCTTGCATCAGCGCACCTTGAGCCTTACGCTTCTCTGCGGATTCACGAGCAATCCGGCGCAACTCGTGAGGTGGCAAAGCACTATTACCAGCATGACCACCAAGACGTTGACCTGAGCCCAAGAATCCCTCACCAGTGTAGCCTTTCCGCATCAATGTCTCAGCCTCGTCACGAAGTTCGTCCCATAACTTGTGGAAATTGCTGTCGTGCTCTCCCCAGACATTGTGCGAGAGCTCATGCAGCAACGTGTCGAGTATCTCCTCAGTCGGCAGGAAAAGATCTGGGCTGTGGTGGTAGCGAAGACGAAGGCAGATTTTGTAACCTTTGTTGATATTTAGACCGAGTAGGTTTTGCTCTGGAGGAAGGAACTCTGCCAGGACCTGTACTCGCCAGCCTCGTTTCCGCATTATTGGCTTCACCATGGAAGCGACTCTGCGCAGAATCGTGAGGGCAGCATCTCCGCGTTGCAAGCCAGCTAAATGCTCGTAGGTGGTGAAGAGCGGTTCCTGTTCTTTGAGCTGTGCAGCTGACGATCTCTGAACGCCACTTGGGCCGCCATTAGAAGCCTGTCGATTGCGTCCAGTGTATCCAGCGCCCATGCGGTGGTCGCCTTGAGGTCCTGGGGGGCGCCAACCTGACATGTCTCGTTTCCGTGCTGCAGTCGAGCTTGAGTGCTTCTCCGACCCTGGTCCTGCCGTTCGCGATGTCATGCATCTAGATCAAGGTCATGTGTGAGCGACGGCGAGCCTTCTCGCGGCGATGCTGTTGAGTGTTCTTTACAAAGTGAGATTTATTCCAGACAGTGTTGAGGCGACAGATGGAAGTTACGCGTGGATGTGAGTTGTTGAAGGGAGGGACGCGTAGGCAGAGAAGCCTAAGAGGTTCGAAGGTCTTGGATGGCGACTTACAAAGCAGCATGCTACACACAAGAACGGCAACACGTGACCATATGAGGCGATCGCAGTCGACAGATTTGACCTTCCCGTTGCTCCCACGGCTTTCATAGATTTGACGAATGTGTTGGTGTTGCATGTTGCAGCAAAAGAACTCGAACGCTGTTTTGCCATGTCGGAGTTCGGCGGATGAGATCATGCCGATGCCGATGTCTTGCCGAATGGCTTGGCAGTGCTCTCCCTCTTTACCTCTTCGTTCACGTCGACGTCAATCACCACCGCATTACTAAGTTGCTGTGTGTGACAGACAGAGTCGTCCTGTGTCCAATTCAAAGAAGCAGCAGATGAAAAAGACCTCGCCTTGACATCCTGATAGGTTCTGACTCTCCATCTGCTACAGAAGCCCGCTCTTACTCCGCCCGCGTAGCCGAGGCCTGGCGATGCCGTCGATGCTGCATCAGTGAACAAACTGTGATTTCTATATCTTCATCTCATCATCAGCCAGGTCGGCAAGATCAACAGGACTGAATTCAGGCATCAGTGTAGAACTACAAGATGACTGCGACAGAACGGATTTCTCAGATCGCCACACAGCTGAATCCTCTGGCAACACCTGTCGATAAAATGTCAGCCTGAGCCCGGTGCGGCTGGCACATGACGATACTCTTATTTGACTGACCTCATGAGCGTAGAACACAAAAGCATCCTGACGATGTTGTAATCACGCTTGCAATCCGGACGCCGCTTACGAAAGCTGGCCGAGGCGCTATGAAGGATACTCTACTGGATGGCCTAGTCTTCAAGATTCTCGAGCAAGTCGTGCAAAGGTGCAACATCGATCCGAAGCTGGTCGACGACATATGCCTTGGCAATGTTCGCGATGGCAAAGCTGCCTATTACTGCCGTGCTGCAGCTCTTGCCGCTGGCTTCCCCAACACTACAGCAGCATCGTCAAGCTCCAGGTTCTGTTCTTCTGGACTTACTGCCACCCAACACATTGCCACGGAAGTCGCGACCGGAATCATCGACATCGGGGTAGCTGTGGGCGCCGAATTGCTGTCCACTCCCATCCCTCGACTTGACCGCGACTTTGTGGAAGAGGTCATGGCCAATCAAGAAGCTGCAGATTGCATGATTCCCATGTCAGTATATGCTTGAATCGTGAGGAACGTCCAGCGCAGGCTAATGAGCAGGCAGGGGCGGCACGTCTGAAATCACTGCCAAGCACTTCAACATCTCGCGAGAACAGCAAGACAGGTATGCTGTGGAATCTTACCGCCGCGCAGAAAATGCCCAGAAATCCGGCTGGTTCATGGATGAAGTTGCTCCCATTACTGTCAAGAAAGACGGCAAAGAAGTTCTCATTGAACAAGATGAGATTCGCTACGGCACCACTTATGAGAAGATCGCCAAACTTCCTGGCTCTTTCAAGGAATACGGCGATCGCAGCACGGCCGGGAATAGCAGCCAGGTCACCGATGGCGCAGCTGCCCTTCTGCTGATGAAGCGCTCGAAGGCTCTAGAACTTGGTCAGCCTATTCTTGGCAAGTATGTCGGAACTGCTCTAGCTGGCCTACCACCGAGAATCATGGGTATCGGACCAAGTCTAGCGATTCCAAAATTGCTTGCAAAATATGGTCTTGATCTCAACAAAGACATTGATGTCATTGAGATCAATGAAGCTTTCGCTTCCATGGCAGTGTACTGTCGCGACAAACTTGGATTGAGTTGGGATAAGATGAATCCCAGAGGCGGCGCCATAGCCTTAGGCCATCCTTTTGGCATGACTGGAGTACGTCAGATTGTGACGGGGCTCAGCGAATGCAGGCGAACGAAGCAGAAGATACTGTTGACCTCGGTGAGTAAACCAAAGGGCAAAAGCCAGCCCCCCACCCTGCACATTCCTGCCTAGTAGCCCTCGTGTCTCACTCTCGAGCGGCAATCGCTTCACCTGATTACAAACGGCTTTTTTTTTCTCGCTTAGGACATCTGCTAACGCTTCTACCCTTTAGATGTGTCTTGGGACGGGAATGGGAATGGCTGGCCTTTTCGTCAATGAGCAGCTATAATGACAAGATATGATCTTGATCTGAGCAGCATCGAAGGCGTATTACCGCGGAGTTAGGCTGGTGAGTCCATCAAAAGCTGGCCTGTTCTAGGTAAATGCGGAGTCGTCACAAAACCCTTCCTGTCGAGCCATTTCTTCATGAATCTGCATAAGCGAGCGAGCAAACTTTGCTGCTGGGAAGCCTTGACCTCACTATATCTTCCATGTGAACGAGATGTCATGATCACTGATGCTTGCATGAGGCTCAAAGTCGTTGACCGTTGCCAGGTGCCCTTCACGTGCTGTTCTCAAGCTGAATTTCCTGTCACATAAACACAATCATCAGCACCTGACAATATGTCAAGGACGTGTCCAATGCTCTCCTTCGATCGCTGGAGAGCATAGGTTGAGAGGATGTATGGCAGGACCAAAGACTTGTAAGATCACAATGGGAATTCGGGAATTTGGTGCTTTGGGACCAACACCAACAACACGTGCGAAGCTCAATACGATCGATTCGAGACGGTTGCACGTATCTTGGAGTGCAATCCTTGCAGGAATACATTCAGCAAAGACAAAGGTGAATATGAGACTGCGGCAAAATGTAGATGGCCCGACTGATATGGCGTTCGGCCCTAAGCTGGAACCCTGTCTTCGATCAAAGCATATGAACTGCGTTCTGGACCAGTCTCCAGCCAGAAGATCAATGGGCTCTGCGGGATTCGATCGTCAGATCACTCATAGCTCTTGCACAATCCTCTGCAAATCGCAAGTAGGATCTACAGTGGAAATGGCGATTATGGGTGTGAGGCTGATTGGTGGTATCTTACTCTACCTGAACATCATGCAGGTATGCTCCTCCATCGTAGCAGCACGAATATTTCGCGTGCAGTGAATATCTTCCTTGACGCCATGCCTTGCCTTCCCAGATGCTTTTCTCCAAACCCCACGAGCAAAAATGCGCTTATGCGACGAGGGTGCTGGCGGTGGCGCTCTCGTATCTCCAGGTTGGTGGGAGGGCACCGACGGTCTTGTAGTAGCGGGAGAGACGGTGGATACGGGATTCGATCAGAATCAGGCGGAACTTGCTGTCCTTGTCCTTGCGGTTGCGCTCGAGGTGCTTGCGGACAGCGACGGCCTGGGAAGAAGAATGTTAGAATGAAACAGTCAGTATATCGACATGGTGTTTGAAGAACACACCTTCTTGATGAGCATGTAAAGGTCCTCTGGGATTTCCGGGGCGAGGCCTATTCATCTCTCTGTCAGTCTGTGACCAAGCAGAGGCTTTGATTTATGTTGCGTGCGCAAAGGCAGCAATTGTGATATGTCCATCTCCTGTCAAGCCACTGTTTCAGGCTTGCGTTCCCCTTCCATTTCAGACAGGCTGTACGAGGCGCGAGGTAGGCATACCGTTGGACTTGAGGATACGGAGGATCTTGTTACCTGTGGGCGCATTCGTCAGTTCTCCAGTTCTCTACCTTTTCACTCTCGACAGCAGTTTCTTACCGGTGACAATCTTGACCTGGGCAACACCGTGGCTGTCACGGAGAACGACACCAATCTGCGATGGAGTGGCGCCCTTCTTCGCGAGCTTGCAGATCTGATCAACGACGGCATCCGGGGTGGTCTTGAGCCATGCTGGTGGAGCGCGCGAATATGGGATGGCACTCGAAGAGATACCCTTTCCGTTGCTGTGAAGACGACCCATCTTGGCGGTGTTGGCGGAGGAAGAGGTGTCGAGGAATCTGCGTTGTCGTTCACGCTTGCGAGATCAGAGGTCGCTGTTCAGTGGGCATGAATTTCTTTCTGAGTGGGTGCGGCCCTTCCCGAAGCACAGGCCAAGCACGAAGCGCCAAGCCTCTTCCTCCTCCAACCTCACGTTCCCCCTTCGCACTCTTTCACCGATCTCATCAAGAACTGGCACAGCTCCTCCACGATACCATCTTGTGCGCTTGCTGCCCCTAGACTCAAATGCAGTGCTCTCTTCCTCCTCATTCTGCGTGGCGTTCGCGATGCAAATTTCAGGAGACTGCTGTGCGATGCGTGCGCTCATCGTGGAACAGCCGCGCTCCAAGCGTGTCTGTTGGCCTGATTTGCTGTTTCACGTGCAGCACGAGAGTCGCCATTGAATTCTGTGATTGTGTGCACCTTTCTGTTTGTCATGCAATAGCCACGAGAGATGGAGGCATCTGAGAATTGTTTGCCGGCTGCCTGCATCGATTTTTGCTCGTCGGAGACAGCAGCATCAAGCTCAAGCTCTGGAAAGCCATGCTTGACGCTGGTTGTCATCGCATTGGAACACTCAAAAGTCTTCACTGTCGATGTGGCTGACATTGACTAGTCTCACAGTTGTCGGCGCACGACTCTAGGTTGCTAGTCTCACTTATCCGCAACCGCCAATTATTGGTTGGCCCCTCACTCACTTGTTGTGCATGATTGTCACATGCAGCTGTTTCAGTTGATTGCAAGTGCTCGTCCAGCTCAAAACAAGATTTCATTTGCCATCAAACTCTGCCTTTTACAAACACACCGACTCAGCAACCAACACTTCCGAACCCGACTCAACCACACTTCAACCAACATACTTCCACCTTCAACAACACTTCAACGCATTGCGTAGTGAGCAGCTGCGACCCAGAACTTGCCAACAAGAGTCCATCACCATCTCAAGAAACCCGATACATCATCGACATCATGCTTTTCGTCCTTCCAGTGCTCGCCATCCTCGGCGCTGCCTACGCCGACGAGACGACATGCGAAACTACGGTTGTCACAACAAGCACCATCTCATTCACTACTACTGTGACCCTTGAGAGTGCTGCTGGCGCGACTACTGCGCCGCCAGCGCCTCCAACCTACCCCACCTCTCAGCCACCAGCAGGCGGCACCGCTCCGGCTCCATCGGTCACTGATTGCTCGCTCGCCACGTAAGTTTCTCGCTCACTGCGCTGCTAGCCCTTCACTAATAGCTCGTCAGGGGAACCACATCCGTGGAAGGCGCTGAGACTGCATCCGCATACGCCCACTGCTCGTGCGGCACTCTTGTCATCGGCATCGAAACTACCACTGGCGCCGACGGCATTGTCACTTCGACCTGCGCTGCACCCCCATACCCAGTCGTCGGCACTTCCTCTCCAGGCGCGACCACCGCCGACCCGGTCGGCACTTCTACGACCAGCGGCACTGCTCCAGGCGACACCTCCGCCGGCACCACTACTCAGCCCACCGATTCGTCTTCGGGTCCCACTAGCTCTGGTTCGGCCACTGAGTCCTCCCCAGAGCAGCAAACTGGCAGTGACGCTGGCAAGACGACAGTCAACGGAGTCGCTGCTATGGGCGTCATGGGTCTGGCTTTGCTATTCGGCTACTAAGGTCAAAGCATGAAAAGGCCACTACTATCACGACTGAATTGGAAAGGTCCTTAGTCGACTGGTCCTGAGATATTTGCTTCCTGCATGAGAAACGAGAAAATGATTGATCTGGCGTTACGGGCATGAATTACTGGGTAATGAGTTCAATAAAAGCATACCTAATAATGCAAATGGTGTTCACGGTGCAAGCTCTGATGCACTCGCATCTCTACCCTTCCCCAAACGCTTTCTTTTGTACTCATATTCTTCGTGAGTCATTATGCTATCATCAATCAATCGAACAATGCCGAAATTTGATGCGTCTTCCCCATATGCCGGCTCCGATTATCCCTCCTAGCAACCCCAAAAACGTGATACTTGCAGCTAGGTACAGGGCACTTGTAAGGACGTTCCAGAGTATGCAGACTGAGCTGATGGCGAGACAGATCTTTCGGGTATTGGAAGCCTCGATCACATATGAAGCACTGATGCCGAGTCTTGGCGGCATGACCATGTGCGTTCTTGGCGTGGTGTCGACGACCATTATTCCCGAAAAGATTCTGGCCTTGTCTCTGATCTGAGATGGTCCATGGTGTCAGCATTGCCTTGGTCTGAGTTCGCAACTCCATGCTTTCTTGAGCAGTGGCGTTTAGCATCATCATCCGCATTTTCAGACTGCCAGGTCGGCTCGTCAAGATCAATTGAGAGCGAGCCGTCGTACCAGACCGGCCCTTCATCAATTGCGGTGGCTGGTGAAGATGCGAAGAGGCCGCTTGGTTGCTGTTTCTCGTGAGTACATGAGATCGGTAATTGGATACTTCAAGCCATGTATAGTGGGTTGGTATCGGTACGTACAGTACGTACCTCTGAAGACGCCATCAACCTTGCATCAAGACCCACACGATTCACTATAATCTTCAAGGTGTGCATGGCTTTTATTTTGATGTTGACGAAGTTTTGTGAGAATTGGACTTGGGAAAGAATACTCTCCAGGCGCTACTCATCATCCAGCGGCCTCATTTTCGAGGGGAAAGACAGACAGCAGCAGCGACCGCGAGTGGTCTCGGTTGCTCGCCAATAAGGGAGCTGTCATTTTTGCGAGGAGTTCTGATGCAGCTCTGCCTCGAGCTTGAAGATCGTCTTGCAGCTCGCCGAGCCGTTTCCGTAAGGCTCTGGCCGTCTATGATCGAGGAGTGAAAGGCCGATGAGATGAACGTAAAGTCGAGCTCGATGAGATGGAGCACGGGCCCATCAGGAAAGTGGCAAGTCTCAATTGAGATGTACTCCACTTGAGTGAAGCTTGTTTTCCTGAACTTAGGAGCGGCAAGCAATTCGCTTTTTGCCATCGTCTCGCAAGCCACGCATTGCTGTAGGGCACCAGATAGAGCTTAGTCTTCTTCGCACGCAAGGCTCTGCATCTCAGCGGACAAGGCATCTAAATCGCATCCTGCGCGCGTGTGGGGCAAGAGACGATGGATGTCAGGGTTCTTGAAGACCTATCAGCTGTGTATGGAATCTTGGCAAATAATGCAAAGTGTATGCACGTTTCTCCTGATCAGAGCCCAGCCAGGCTTGTTTGCTTCGAAAGAGGCAGCTTCATCGCTTCGCCAGCTTCATCCGACAAGGCATGCCCTCAGCCGGCTTCGCAGTCCCAAGCTGTACTTGATACGCCCTCTCCCCAAATTGCTCCCTCACCCCAGACAGATAATTAGGATATGAGCTTCCATCACCTACCAGTTTCTCTAGCTCATTATACGCACTAATGAAATCAAACTTCCTCACGATCATCGCAAGAATGACCTTTGCCTCCATAATTGCCAACTCTTGCCCAATACAATTCCTCACGCCTTTACTGAACGGTACCCAAGCATCTTTGTTGTTCTCGGCGTAGACTGCTGAGCCAGGTATGAATCTTTCTGGATCAAATATATCTGGGTTTGGCCAGTTCCGAGGGTTCCGATGCATGCCAACATTCACTGGCCAAAGCATGAAGTGGTTTGTGGGCATGTTTTCGCCAGTGTCAGGGTTGTGCAGTGTCAGGTTTGCTTGACCTAAGCGGATAGTCGATGCTGGTGGCTGCATTCGAAGAACCTCTTTTGTTACGGCAAGGGTGTATTCCATTTTGCTGAGCAAGTGCGGATCGCTTTTGAGCTTCTGTGCTACCACGTCTGGGTCCGGTCCAAAAATCTCTTCGTGCTCTTTTCGGATCTTGGCGAGAGTTTCCGGGTACTTGCTGAGGTAGTAGAAAGAATAGCAGATCGCCGAGGATGTGGTGTCATGTCCAGCAAAGGTGAATGTCTTCATATTGCTAATGGCCGCTTCCTTGAAATCGGGATCAAGTCCCTTGATCTTACTAGCATCAACGCTGCCCTTTTGGCCTTTAATCTCTTTCAGGTAGGCCTCCAAAGCGAGATCGATAACATGCTTCGATTTCCCTCGTGCTTCAAGCCCAGCAAAGCGCTCATCGAGGCGCGCAGACAGCCATCGGTGCATTCTCCAATTGTTGTAGCGCTGAATTATGGGTCGGCGGATGTCCCAGAGTTCGCTTGGCTGGTATTGTAGTCCGATCTTTTGCCATCGAATTTGAGACATGAAAGAGTCCACAAGCACGTTTTTGCCATGCTGCGCGTTGAGATCGAGATCCAGCACTATCTTACCAATTATGTTTACAGTAAGCTTCGTTGCCGCAGGCTCCATGCGAAATAGCTCGTTGTTCCTCGCGCGCTTCTCCATAATATCACAAAAGACCTGACATTCATCCACGATGGTCGAAACCTGTGTAATGAGATGGCCTGGCGCAAACCCTGGATTGAAAGCAGATCTCCACTTCTTCCAGACGGCGCCCTCTTCAGAGACCAAGTCATATTTTCCCCCAAAGTTGACCATGAACTCTGCGACCAGTGGGTGCTTTGGTGGATTGTATTTGATCGTGATTTGGTTTGCCATATCCGGGTTTGTGATCACCATTATCGGAGGGCCCAGAGGCCAAGAATCAAAGTAAAAGGCATCCGGAAGATCGTAAGCGTCTTTCAGACATTGCATCAATGCTTGTGGAGCGGCATTGGGAGGTTGTTTGGCTGCCACCTTGCCCATAGAAATAAGCGATCCGAAGGCATAGCTGTGAGGAGGTCCCGGAAGTCCATTGACGAGAGTTCTATGAAAGTGTAGTCGCTGGAGGAATCGCAGGATGTACGCAGCCAAGACAAGTCCAACGGCCCAGATCAGATGTGTTCCTGTCAGGGGTTGGAGCTGCATGTCGAATAAGGCACGCGGCACTTGTGGGTTCTCTGGTAAAACGTGTGCGCGAGAACTGCACGAAGTATAGGTACTCAGATAGACCTACGAGAGAAGATAATCGCAGACGACTTGACACAGCAGACAAGCATGACGAGCCGGAGGATTCGCTTCCGGGGTCCAGCATTGTCGTGTGGGCGGCACATGTGGTCTTGGCTGGCCGCCTAGTTCTGTACTTATGGGAATGTGAAGGCCAAGCTAGGTGAATGTTTCGACGCTGTAGCTACGAACGTGTCGAACTGAACTCGACGAGATCAGATAGGTTGCTGGAGTTCAGGCACTGGCCTGGCACTGCCACTGCCACTGGATCTTCTGCGGTGTGGTGTGGTAGAAAGGCAAAGTTTCGCTTCTGACGTCAATAATTGTTGCCTTGGCCGTCGAGGCCGTTTGCTGCAGCGTGTCCAACCCAAGATTGCCACAACATGAGTGAATGCAAAAATAGCTGCGCGCTGGATGCATTCATGTGAAACAGAAGCACATGAAAGTCTGCGAGGTGAAGTGGTCTTGCGAAGAATGCGAAGATGACTGATGCCGCGCATCTTGGCGAGACAAGCAGGGGCGCGTCTGGTTCGTCATCACAGCTGCAGCTGCAGATCGGGGAGGACGAGCTGCAGCATGTCTGGCGGTACCACAACGTAAACGATACCAACGATACCACTGCTACGACAATCTCAACATCGCCCGCAGACCACGAAAGTGCGTTATCGCCCTCCTCTCCATCCCACAGCATCACCATCGAGCTGTCTCCTCCTGCTTCTGCCCACGACCAGCTCTCCGACGTCGATTCCGACTTTGATATCATTGGAGGCGGCCAGCTCATCCCAGAGGCTTCGTACGACGGCATAGCAAGCAGCAACGAAGGCATCTTCCACGGCCTGAGTGCCAAAATACCCAAAGGGCTGCGACTCAACAGCAGTCAGACAGAACGCCGCCGCTCTCGCGACTGGCCTGAACTGCCGGGTACCAGCACGATGGAGGCTGGGAGCAGCAACGATTATAACAGCCCAGAGTGGCAGCAAGCGGGCGAGAACGCCGACCCACAAGACCTGGCAGGTCCAGGTGCGCATGGCAGACTGGAGTGCAAAGTCAGCAGCCCTCAGAAGGAAGGCGAAGGCACCCCGAACCCATATGTTTCCTACCTGGTCACCACCGATACCGACTTCAAGTCCTTTGTGGAATCTCATATAACAGTTCGGCGACGCTACACGGACTTTGTCTTTCTGTACCGCACGCTCAGCAAAGAGTATCCCCAGTGCGCAGTGCCGCCTCTCCCGGACAAGCATAACATGTCGTACGTACGAGGCGATCGCTTTGGACCGGACTTCACGAACCGAAGAGCATATTCACTAAACCGATTTCTGAAGCGACTAACTCTACACCCCGTACTTCGGAGGGCGACGCTTCTGGCGCTCTTCTTAGAATCGAGCGACTGGAATGCGACCATGAAGAGCAGGCCGAACAGAGGCATGAGCGGGAGTGAAAGTGGAAGTGGTTCAGTGCTCGAAAGCTGGACTGATAGCTTTCTTAACGCCTTCACGAAGCCGCACAAGACCGATAAGCGATTTCAGGACGTCAACGAGCGCGCCTCGAAGCTCGACGATGATCTCGGCACTGTTAGCAAGACCGTCGCCCGCGTCGCGAAACGAGAAGGCGATCTGGAAGCCGACTACGGCGATCTTGCGACCCAATTCCAGAAGCTTGCCGCTCTCGAGCCAGGTGTCAACGACGAACTGACCAAGTTCGCAACGTCGGTGCATTCCACGAGCGAAGGTTGGAAAGACCTGAAAGACTTCACCGACCAGGACTACCTGGGGTCGCTGAAAGATATGGAAGCATATATCACAGCGGTCAAGGCACTTCTCAAAACACGCGAACAGAAACAGCTAGACTTCGAAGGTCTGACAGAATACCTGAACAAGGCCGCCCAAGAACGCGACACACTCGCATCGCACGGCTCCATCGGCGCTTCTGGCTTCTTGCGGCAGAAGATTGAGGATGTGCGCGGCGTCGACCACGAACAAGCAAGACGAGAACGACAGCGGAAACTCGAAGTCCAGATCTCAAGACTGACCACCGAAGTGGAGGCAGCCAAGAAGACAACCGAGGCCTTCGACGAAGAAGTGGTAAAAGAAGTAGCAGATTTTGAAAGGATTAAAGCGGTCGAGTTCAGGGACACGCTGGGTGGACTGGCAGAGGCCAACATCAAATTCTTCCAAAACAATATTGCAATCTGGGAACGTTTTGTTCAAGACATGGAGAAAGGACAAGCTGCTGCTGCTAAGGCGTCAGGATAATGAACGGAGGGAGGAAAGTCTAGTAGGGCATCATCATGTCATGTTCATCATGCAACTTCCACCCCATGAAATGCAAATGCAGTGAAACAGTCACAGCCACTCACGTGCAAAAAATAGCAAATCTCACCACCCAACCAACCGCATCTATTCATATCTTGATCTCGCGTGTATCTTCTTCCCAAAGCTCTGGTGACTGGTCGACAAGACCACAAGCTAACGGATGTCCTCAATTCTAGACCGGAAGACCGGAAAGAGGCAAATGGCAAAAGTGGGAAACTTCTGAATTTTGCCCCTTCGCATGACCCGAATGAGAAATGGACGTTCTAGAACGAAACTTCCTGGTGCTTTGGACATGGGTATGGGTGGGTAAAATGTTTGTGCGGGTGCGGGAGAAACGACGGGATCGATCCTTGTTGCGTTGCGAGCTCTCCCTCTCTCACATCAACAAGACTGGATTTGGGAAAAATGCGAAACGAAAGATAATAATAAGAGGGGGAAAAATGCGGGAAGATTTCTTTCTTTTTCATTTGAGGGATTTTTGTTTTCCTTTCTGTGAACACGCGTATTTGGCTATTTTGTCTGTTGGTGCTGTAAAGTATACGCAGCAAGCGAGCAAGCTATAATAATAAGAGACGACAGCAACAGGTCCTGATGAGTCCTCCCGTGCGTGATTTCTTGCCGAACTGGAACCAGCAATCGACCCACCATCATGCGACCGCCATTCCTACCGGATCGCATCATGCCTTCGCATTCTTCAACATCGCGCCATCATCATCCTGAGGAATCGTCCTCCTCTTGCTGCCTGTCTTCTGCTCCTGCTCAACCTTCACAAGCTCGTCACTTCGCGGAGGCGAAGAGATCGGTGAAGTGAAAACATTCGTGAGACCTCTGCGGACAGCTTTCTCCTGCTTCATCGGCACAGCAGTGGCAGCGACTCTCTGCTTCCTAGTCTGTCTTGGTGCATCCACGTCAATGGAATCGTCCGCGAGGACATTAGCCTTGCGTTTCTTTCCTTTGCCGGCCGTGCCGAAGACTTCTCGGGCTTGAGTGTTGTCGTTCTGGAGGATTGTTCGACGCTTGGGCGGGACGAGGGTGTTCTCTTCTTGCTCGATGGAGGGTTGGATGGCGACTTTACAGGCTGGTGGCTGGATTGGACTGCCTGAGACGATGTGATCCTTTGCTCTGTCCTGTGCGAGCATGGCTGGTACGTCCTCCTGGCTTGGTGTTGCTTCCACTTCCACCCAGCCTTTGCCCATGCGCCTGATCGGCTTCTGAGACTTGATGTCGAGAAGAGGAGTAGGAGCCGATGGCGCTTTGACTGCGGCCCTATTTGCTGCACGCGAAGCGCGTGCTGCCTTCGTCTGCTCCTTCCTGGCACGGGATGAGGTTCTGCCTTTCTTGTCTTTGGCAGTGTTGCGTGGAGCTTGCTTTTCGATCTCTGGAGCGTCATATTTCCTAGCTGCTGCCTTTTGGGATCTAACGATACGTGCGGCCTCGAGTGCTTCCACATGCTTTGCCTTGGACTGAGCTGAATTCTTCCTCTTCTGAGCCCTACTAGCTCTGGCCGGCGCCGCCTTATCAGTCGCTTGCCTGTCCTCAGGCTCATCGATGTCTTGGGGTGCTGCTGCGGCGTCAGGTTCAGCGGTGGCAGTCGCGTCCGGTAACACTGTGCCACTGGCAATACCCTCCTGAATAGCTCTCACCTTCTCAGTCAGCCTCTCATTTCTAATGTTGAGTTCTGCGGAAGCCTTTTCAAGCACAGCGATGGATTCCTCAATCTCCATCATCGTCGCATTTCCATTTTCCGCCTGCTGCGCCAAGTCATCAAGCCTCTGACTGATTTCCTCCCATCTAGCCTCATCAATGCGTCTTCCGAGTGTTCTCATGCTGTCGCGGTAGCTTCCCATAGCCGCCTCAACCTCCTTGACGCGCTTGTGCAGCGCGACTTCCTTCTCGGCTGCCTTCTTGCATTCGGCAGTCACGTCTTCGACATCGCGATCAATACGGGTGACCTTCTCTGTGATGGCCTCGATTTGGGACTGAAGCTCTTGGAGCGACTTCATGACTTCCGTCTGCACCTTTTCAATGGCCTGGTTCTCGCGTGTGTCGTCAGCAAGAGATTGTACCTGCTTCGAGAGTTGGTCGACATCCTCCTTGTTCTTGTTCGCCGCGGCCGTAGTAGAGGTCTCGACTCTGTCAATAGCAGCTTCGAGCTTCTGCATGCGGTCGAGTAGCAGGCCATGTTCGCGCTTGAGTTGGTGTGCCCACAGAAGGGCGGTAGGGTCGGATGGCGGTGGTTGCTTGGGTGCCATGGCAGCAATTTGGGCCTGACTGCTGTGTTGATGTACTGCCGATTACAAGGGCCGACGTACTCGAGTCGTCCGATTTCGAGAAGTTGTTAGTGTGAAGCGGGATTCGATCTGCAGCCGTTAAACGGTGACGTTTTGCCAAGCTTTCACATGTGCAAGTCACACAATTATGGCAGGAACGACCACTCTACTCGCACAACATGGGAAGGGGACATTTTGTACTGTTCAATTCATGTACGCAGCCTACGTACCAGGTCGCAATTCAACCTCAGCAAAAACAGCATTTTCAACGTAAGCATGAAACTCCCATTCCCTCTAAAAACGCAGAGCAGTTTTGATGTGCATAAAGCATCGCGAACTCCCTCCTGATGATCATGATGCAAGTCATTCGCCATTGAGCGCTATCTGGCGTACGGTCAATGCGCGCCGTCCGCGCGAAGCAGCGATGAGTGGGCTCTCAGATTCCGTGCAGTAGGTGGTGAGCGCCTCGCCAGCCCGACAGCCGTGTCTCGGCAGCGAACTGGAAGGCTCGTGTGGTGTTGTGATTTCTTCGTTTAGATCAAGTCTATCATTCTCATTAGCATCTCATTCATCAGCTCGAGCTGGATGAACTCACCAGCCACGTTCATTGGCATCTCTTCGATTTGGGTGCTGTAGAACTGCTCGATCTCACGCATCATGCGCACGTCGTCGGCGGTGACGAAGTTGATGGCAACACCCTTACGTCCGAATCGGCCACCACGACCGATGCGGTGGATGTAGTTCTCACGGTTGGCTGGAAGGTCGTAGTTGATGACCAGGGAGACTTGCTGGACATCGATACCACGGGCGAGCAGATCAGTGGCGATGAGCACACGGGAAGAACCAGATCGGAACTCCTTCATGATCACGTCACGCTGGGCCTGGTCCATGTCGCCGTGCATGGCGGAGACAGTGAAGTCGCGGGCAGTAAGCTTGTCGGTGAGCCAGTCGACCTTTCTACGGGTGTTGCAGAAGATGACAGCCTGGGTGATGGTGACGGTCTCGTACAAGTCGGACAGGGTGTCGAGCTTCCAATCCTCCTTCTCGACAGCAATGTAGAACTGCTTGATACCTTCGAGGGTAAGCTCGTCCTTCTTGACCAGGATACGGACTGGGTCGCGCATGAACTTGGTGGTGACCTCGAGGACGTCCTGTGGCATGGTGGCGGAAAGGAGGACGACCTGGGTCGACTGTGGGAGCAGCTGGAAGATGTCGTAGATCTGCTCGGTGAAACCGCGAGACAACATCTCATCAGCCTCGTCGAGCACGAACATCTTCATGCTGTCAGTGCGGAGGACGCGACGCTGGATCATGTCGTGGACACGGCCTGGGGTGCCGACAACGACCTGTGGGCCGTCCTGGAGAGCCTTCATATCATCTCTTACGCTGGTACCACCAATGCAAGCGTGGCACTCAATCTGCATGAAGTCACCGATGGCGACAACAACCTTCTGGATCTGTTGGGCGAGCTCACGGGTTGGTGCGAGGATGAGCGCCTGGCAGGCCTTGATGTTTGGGTCGATCTTCTGGAGCACGGAGATGGAGAAAGTGGCAGTCTTGCCGGTACCCGACTGAGCCTGAGCAATGACATCGTTGCCTGCATTGTGTGTGAGATGCAGGCGAGCGCGACTGGAGAGGAGTGATATTTTGCTTACCCTTGATGACTGGCATGATAGCGCGCTGCTGGATAGCAGATGGGCGCTCGAAACCGTAGGCGTAGACTCCGCGGAGGAGCTCGCTCTTGAGGTTCATCGCATCGAAGGAGTCGGTGGTCTCGTCATAGTTGGACTCGATTTGACCTGCGGCGCACAAATTGTTATTACTGTCTGTCGGTGTGGCACGCTTGCCAAAATGCTGTTCATGTGTCCGCTGCGCTGCCCGCCTGCCCGCCCTGATTTTTATATGCTGCCACCACCGCTGCCGTTGCCGCCACATGGGGTAGGATCGCTCACTTACCAGCATCGATGTCCTCAAGGCCCTTGCTGTCTGCCATGATTGCGAATCAGACACGGAGCTCACTGGCGCTGCGCAGTGAGCTGGAAAAGTGCGTGGGCGGGGGGTGGGCGGGGATCCTCGTGGACGCCGGCCGCAATTGGTTTGGTTGTACTGGAAGAACTAGATATCACTGACGGTCGGTAAGGACGGTCAGCTTCTAGTTTGTGCGGCGTGTGGTGTGTGTGTTGGATTTGTTGGATGGTGATTGAGGAAGTGCGGCGGCAGAAAGATTTCGTATTTTGACAGGGTGTGGGGCGGAAAAGACGCTCTGACCAGCTCGAAGTTTGAACTTGTGCCTAGCGGACTAGCGTGCCGGTCGAGGCAAACCAAATTTTTCCGAGTCTCTGCCTCACTTGCTGCTTCACACTTCATTCGCCAAGCAGTCCTCAGCTCACTATGACTCTTCCACCTGATAGTGGCTACGATTCTGAGTTGGCCCTCGACTCATCCCGTAGACCGGTTAAACGAATGAGAGTTGGCGGCCACAACAACAGAGATGACGAGAACAATACCTTCGTGAGGCGGCACCCGCTAGGTGTGAGGCCATCCGGAAATGCGCTTGTTGCAACACAAAACCTCAAAGACTCATCTGGTCGCTTTGCCTTATTGCCAGACGAGCTACTGGCCTCTTGCCTCGACATCCTCCCGCCTCAGGATCTGCTTCGGCTCGGAGGCACGTGTCGGGCACTTCACGCATTTACAAGAAACGAGGAATTGTGGCGCACGCTATTTGTTGAGTAGGTTATGCAACGTAGGACTCATAATTGCTCGGCATCATGCTGAGCAGCACGGTAGGTCATCTCCCCAAAACTTCTCTTGGCAAGGCACGTGGCGCTCGACATACCTTGGACAGCCTGCAAGTCAGGAGCCTAGAGTTGATTGCGGCAATCTGTTTTCTGATGTTCTGTATCGCCCTTTCTTCTGCGCCCATGTACCGCTTCACCAGTACGCGCAGGGCATCCCGAAGCAGAATGAGATCGAACGATTTGGCGATCTCTCCTACGACGAGTTCGCAGCGGAATGGTACTGCCAGCCTTTTATCCTGACAGATCCTGTCAAGAAGTGGCCAGTCTACAAATCCTGGACGCTCGACCATTTGTTGAACAAATACTCAAACGTACCTTTCCGTGCTGAAGCCGTAGACTGGCCTCTTAAAACTTACATCCAGTACATGCAAAACAGCCGGGACGAATCACCTTTATACCTCTTCGACCGCGCCTTCGCAGAAAAAATGAATCTGCACGTCTCCGACCAGCCCAGCGAAAAAGCAGATTACTGGCCCCCAACATGCTTCGGACCAGACCTCTTTAATCTCCTAGGCGATCAAAGACCAGATCATCGCTGGCTTATCGGAGGACCCGATCGCAGCGGCAGTACTTTCCACAAAGACCCCAACGCAACCAGCGCATGGAACGCAGTGATCAAGGGATCGAAGTACTGGATCATGTTCCCATCCTCACCCTCAATCCCGCCTCCACCTGGAGTTTACGTCTCCGAAGACCAGAGCGAAGTCACGAGTCCTCTCAGTATTGCAGAATGGCTTCTCGGCTTCCACGCGGAGGCAAGAAGGACAGCAGGCTGCAAAGAAGGCATTTGTTATGAGGGAGAGGTGCTTTACGTGCCCTCAGGCTGGTACCACCTAGTCCTGAATCTAGAAACTAGCATCGCCATTACTCAGAACCTTGTGCCGCGAAGTAGACTTGGAGCTGTACTGCATTTCCTGAGAGACCAGAAGCAGAGTATCTCAGGTTTCAGAGATGATGTGCAAGATCCGTACGGTCTTTTCCTCGAACGTTTGCGAGAGCATGATCCGGCGCTTCTTGACGAGGGCTTGGCGGAGTTGGATCGATTGAGTAAGATTGGTAAGAACTGGGAGACGATCACGAAAGTTGATGAGGAGGACGGGGCTGAGCAGGGTGGTTTCTCGTTTGGGTTTGGAGGTGATGACGATGATGATGAAGAGATTCCATGAGATGTAGTCGCTCAAAGTGTTGTCGGCAATTATGCTCAGTGCTGTAGATTACGCGCCATCTACTAGTATGTGACACATCCCAGCATGAATCGATGCAATATTTGAAAGGAATTGTGACCGAAGCCCACAAAATCGCAATGCAAGGTCTTTCACAACCCCTGTTCATTTCGCCTGTATACTTTTGCATTACATCATAAGGTCGTAGATGTCTAAATGTCGTACTGCATATCGTTATATTCCAGTGTCCGTAATATTAACAGTCACATTCTCAATCTGACAACCCGTCTGATTCCAAGTTCCTCCTAGCACTTGTTCCAAGAAAGCGAAAGCCCTCGCATCACCATTCGTCGTCTCATCCGTGTGCCCTCCAACAGTGTTGCGATCATATTTGATCGTAGCGCCAATATTGCAGTATCTCTCAACCAGAGCATCGGTGTCGTTGACCGGGCTGATATCGTCCTTGATGGCCTTATATGCGAAGACTGGCATTTGTGGGACGCCATGGTAGCCCATAATTCCATCACGGTTGATGATGCGTTGCGAGAGAGGGTTACTGAGGGATTGGTCTCCGTTCTTGAAATAGTCCGAGATGTTGTGGAAGGCGAAGGCTCCGATTGATTCTGTTAGGGTTTGGTTGAAGGCCATGAGGAAGCCGGTCGCGTTGTATTCTCCTTCCGTGTTCAGATTCTCTTTAAGGTATTGGAGCAGTTCTGGGTATTGGCTTGCGAGACCCAGAATCCCAGCTGGGATCAGCCCTGCTGCGATGCCTCCGTTGGTAGCCGCAAGCACGCTGGTCACGTTCGGTGTAAGGCCACCCAAAGCTGCACCTGCGAAGCTCAGGTCCTGTGCGTATTGAACTTGGAGTTCTGCTGCCCATTCACTGGCAAGCGCACCGCCTGAATATCCCCACATTGCGTATCGGGTACCATTTGTATCAAGGCCAAAGCCTGAGTTCAGGACTGCTCGGATGGAGTCGAGCGTGGCGTGGCCAGATTGAACGCCTGCAGTAAAGCTGGCGTTCGGGCCTTCGTAGTCTGGAACATTGACGAACCAGCCTTGCCCCAATGCCTTCGTCACATCTGGCAAAGCAGCGCCATACTGAGCATATGATGGGCTAGCATCGACGTCGGCAGAGTCATATGGGACTTGGTATGAAAGCAGCTTGTTAGTGGCTGAAGTCTGGTTTGCGCACTTGGGTGTGAAGAGTGTTGTGACTGCCCATGTGGGTCGATATTGGCTGTCTGTGGTGCGGTAGAGGATTTGGTAGGCTTCGCTTGAGTTTGTGGTTATGCTCGTGAGGTTTCCTCTAGCAGCTCGAAGCCTGAGAATGGCACCTGGAGCAGCAGCCTCGAAATTGTGAGGTGTGGTATACCACGGGTCTTGACTCGGCGGTAAGATATCCACTGGCGTCTGAAGCAGTCCTTTTCTTGAAAGATCTGTGATCGGATTTGTCGAATATGCTGCGCTGCCAGCAACGAGAGCTGCAATTGGAAAGGTGATAGAGGTCCTCATCTTGGCGTGCTAGCTAGACGTCTGGGAGGAAGCTGGGCTGGGCTATAGAGGATGCGAAAGAAATATATATTACTCACGAGACGAAGGTTCTCCAGACACTTGGAGCGACTACTCCGTTTGTATACCCGCACCCGAGCCGTGCTGTCAGATGCATTTTGAAGGCGGTGGTGAGGTCACTTTTGGCCTCGTTCGCGATACGACCATGGGCCTACGTGGCGCCGAGGTCGCGGACGTAGGCCCTTCTTGGTATGGTTCCAGGAACCGCTCGCAGACAAATGCGGGGGGACCAGTTGGGAACGATCAAACCTGCGGTCGCTATCGGAAAGGCAGCATCGGGTGTGCTGTCAGCCGCTCGGCGGCCAAGTAAGATGCTGACGGCTGAAAGGTGTTCTGGGCAAGAGTGACAGGTGTTGTTGAGGAAAGAGGAAAGCTCGCGTGTAGCGGTGGGGAGGTGTCATAGTCAGCTCGTAAAGTAGCGGTTTTCGCCAATAACGCGCTACCTGCCACGTAGAATTGGTTAAATTGGCACTATTTGAGGTTAGCAAGGTGCCTTTATAAAGAATGCTATTATTAACTAATTATTATATGCTAGTTAGCGTTGTTAGCCGTTTAGTTAGTTAAGGAGGCCTCTTTAGGTAAGGATTCTACGTTCTAGTCGCCTTAGGCACGCGAGGGCCGCCGTAGTAACGAGAATCCGACTCCCTTCCTTAGTATACCTACGCATTAACAACAACGTATATAATACTATCGGACAAACGTACAAATAGAAGCGCTATTATCGGTACTTAATCTCTCGTACTATTTATTAATATTAGTACGTTAGTTAGCATTCCGTATCCTCCGGCATAAAGGGCCTCGAATCCGCCCGCTATGTCGAATATCTACTCTCGACCTATAATCGACCCTCTATAATCCTAACCCTCGCCTAATACCTTCGATTTATACGCTATTCGACTTAACCGTACGACTCCTATCCGTAGTATATATTTACAGCCTCTACGCCGAGTTGAAGACCCTTAGTAGAAGGTTTAGGCCTTTATAAATAGCGCTAGATATGCCTTTAACGAGTACCTCCGAGATATAGCTTCTAAGGCGAAGATACAGATTACGAAGGAGCGCTATCTCTAACTAGTTATATTCTATATCTCTACTAAGGACTAGATTAAACGACAACTAAACAGGAAGATAAGCTAGGAAGACTATAATCTGCGGTACTATATAAGGAACAGGTTTTACTAGAGTCCTAAAGACGAGAGGCTATATACTATTAAGAAGGACCGTTCTTTATATAAGGTAGTATAGGAATACGAGATGTTTAACGTTATAACGATTAAACACTACGAGGTAGGCTACTACGGTCGTAGAGCTATTAAGGCCCTTCTTAGGCGCAACTTCTATAGCATTACAAAGGAAGATATTACTACGGCCTTATTATACTATTAAATCTGCAACCTCCTTAAAGCGGCGCCTCTAAAGCGTATAGTACTAATTAAATATATATACTCTAGCAATATACACGACCGTATCTAAGACGACTTAGTAGACTTCTCGGACTAACCGGACGGCTCTTATCTATATCTCTTCTACCTAAAGGACTATTGCACCAAATTCTATCGAGTCTATGCCCTTTAAAGTAAGGAGGCCGAGAATGTAGCCTATTATATCTACGACTATATCAACTCTTATAGAGCGCCGAGGCTATAGCAATTTAACAACGGCGGCGAGTTTAAAGGCGTATACGAGGCGCTTATTACTTCCTATAATATACTAATTGCTTACGGCGCTCTATATTACCCTAAGTCGCAAGGACTCGTTAAACAGGCTAACGGTGTTATTAAGAAGCGCATCTCGGCTATTAAAATAGACCGTAGATTAAGAGGCTAGATTATCGCTGCCTAAGAGGCCGCTCGCATCTATAACGAGACTTTCTATACTACTATTAAAATAACCCTCTTTAAGGCCTTCTTTAACCGTAACTCTACTAAGAAGCCGGACCTTCTATTAGCAGGTCTATAGGCGGCTTTATAAGCCGCTAGTAACTATATAGAAGTTACTAGAAGCCTGTCTCCTATTCTAATAATAGGTAACGAGCTATTACTATACGAGGCTATTCTTACTATAGAGGCGGCAGCTTGTAATAACGACGACGACACTACGAGTATTGTTATAGTCGCTATAGCCGTTGCTAACGGTTATAATATCGTATTCGACGAAGACAACCGACTAGTAATTGAATTAGACACACACGCGCCTACTACTATACTAGCGACTATTGTAGCGGCGGAAGTTGACCCTCTATAGCCTAGATACGACGTGCCTTACTATAACGAGATAGACCGCCGCCGCACTGTCTATAAGTCTAGTACTAGTGTTGTCTACGAGATTGACGACAGTTAGCGTATTCTATAGGACTTAATCTCGTTAAACTAGCGCTCCGCTAACGCTAATTATAATAGGGCCTATACTAGTAATAGTAAGGCAAGGACCTTCGAAGTTAGTAACCTTGTTAGTATAGCAATCTAGAAGGAATACCTTGTCAAGTTTAGCCCTCGAGTAGTTATTGTCTAGATAATAGAAGCCGCTTAAAATAGGCCTAATTACTATCGATTAATAACTCCTTAGGGTAAGCTAAAGGGTTAGTAGTATATACGGCACCTATTGCTAATAGAGGGCTATTTATTCGCTATCTATAAAGACTGCGAGTCTAAGGTTATTAGTATAGCGGAGGCTTCTCGAATGTAGGTAAGGGTGCCTATTAGTACTATCTACGAGTACCGTTGTAAGGGCTCTTATAATAACAACTATTATAGCTGCCGTAAACGAGGTGTTCCTTGTTCTAAGCTATACTACGGTTACGGTAACTATTGTAACAATATAGACGACTACGGCCTTCTAAACGACTATAAAGCGCCTGCCTTAGTTGCTAACGACGACGATAAGATAGCCGCTATCTAACAACCTAGCTCTACGCTACTAGCAGAGGCAACACCTAGAGCTACTATAGAAGGGCTAGACCTCGCTACCTCTACGCCTACGTAACTAATACCTACGTCTGCTATAGTCTAGCGGACCTAGTCTTCTGCTAATCTACTAGTTGCTACTAAATCTCCGCGTAGAAGAGGTTAGCGGAAGAAGACTGTATCTAAGAAGGCGCAGTCGTTAAGGGAGTAAGTGCCTAAGGGCGTATAAAAGAGAAGGAGGGCGAGGGCCTAGTAGTAAGTGCTAGAAGGGGACGGAAGTAATAGAATAGAACTCCGAGCAGCAGTCTATTACTATATTTGTTAGGAGATATTAGTCTTAGCGTTTGTATAGGTCTTCTCGGTCCTTAGTTAGGCTTCTTTAATAAGCCGTAGAGAGTATATAAGGGCCTAGTTGTTATCGCTATTCGGAGCTAAATTCAAGCTAGCTTCGAGGCGGCTTCGAGCGATAATATTAATACAACTATAGTACCTATACTATATATAAAATATATAGTCTCTATCTACTTATTAGTAGCTTTAATTTAGTCTATATATCGCGTTATTATAGCCGTTTTGTCGCTTACAATAGTGTCGGCAGGCTAAGTAGCAAATTGCGACCGGATAGCTAACAAATCCGGCTCCTTATTATATACTAATAACTTAGTTAAATCCGCTGTTTAATTGACTAAATAGGCTCTATATATCTACTTTATAGACAGGTTGTTGTTAATCAAATCTATAGCAATTGCTTTACTAAATAGGCGCTATTTAATGAAAAAGCGTACTTGACAAACGGGTGATTACAGAGGGAGGTTGCAGTGGCTCCGCTTACCGATACGCTCGGGGCCTTCCGAACGCAATTCAAATTAGAGCTCGACTTCGATGCTGGCTCTGCCACCTGGCACGCTCGACCCGTGAAAATATTGACGAGCATTAATCAAAACTACTGTCCGTGCTCCATTTCGAAGAGGGTGCGTGCGGCTTACCTAATTCCTCCGCTTTGTAGGACAGTAGCTTCGGGAGTGTCTCGCTCCCGCCGCAAGTCAGTCATGATACATGGAGACATTATTGGAGTTGGTATGGCATCAACAATGGCAGTCAGAACCTCATTGGCTGCACTGAGTGCTGCCGAGCGGCAATTGATTAGGTCTAAGCGTCTTCAAAGTGGTCAATGTGTGCGCTGCTTTCATGCTTCACTGCGAAAAGCAGTTCAAGATGGCACTTCGGGACAGGATGGCAATGAGATTCACAAACCAGCTCCATCTAATAGTAATGGAACCGCTCCTCTTACTGTATCGATATGCAGCTGACCGCATGTGCAGAACCAACCCGCCGTCCTTCGCGCAAAGAGCGCGCTGCAATGATTTCCAGCGAAGTATCGATGCTTCAGAGAGGACCACCTCCAGGAGAGTCAACACATGGTCCAGGCAGCGTAACAGGCACATATCAGCGAGATCCAGAACCACCGACGACGAGCGCTGGATTCGCCAAGACTCCAGAAAGTATGGGCGGAGAGCGCATGGGGGACAATGTTTCTGCTGGCCGAGAAGGGCCAAATGCGCAGGGCGTGGGACGTGTGACTGGAGCGGATGAGAATGTCAGGAATGAGCATCCAAGTTCTCGAAGCATGAGAAATCCATCTGAAGTGCAAGAGCCGGCTGAGGGCGGCGTCAGTGTGCTGGAATCCAGTACACCAGGACACTTGAGCACGGCAGCACGTATCGCATCATTAGAGAGCAAGGAGGACTCTGCGATATCAGGCTCTCTCAATGCCCGGGAAGAGACATCCTTACGCGACCGGCTAGCCAAAGCCAAGGCGTCAGGCCTAGCCTATCGACCGCGAGCACCATCGCGAGAACATCTTCTCCACACAGGGAGCAGTGCTGCAACGCCAGCAAGCAAGGACTTCGAGGCTGTTGTGCTAGATCGTTTCAAGACTGGTCGCAGTCCTGTGAAGGCACTTACTGTCCAGACAGGCGAGAAGGCGCGGACGCTGCCGAACCAAGATATACTTCTGCGAAAGCTGGTTGCTGGTAAATATCCTACTTCGTGGCTGTCTACCGAAAACGGTCGCTACAAGCAAAAGACACTGAACCAAGTCATAAAGAACCTGGCAATGAATGGCACCTACCTGGGAAAAGATGCCAATAAGTTGATCGAGAAAGTGCGGCATTTGCTCCCAGCTACTTTGCAGGCTTTGCGTCCAGTGCAAGGCGCAGCTCAGGCCAAGGCTCAGGCCAAAGCATAGAATGCTATGCAGAAAGGACATTGCAAAATCGTTGGCATTGCGGAGGTTGCGTAGCACGTAGGCGTGGGCGTAGGCGTAGCGAGGCCGTTTTCTGCGGTACAGGTAACTTATACCTTCAGTCGTTCTTGTGGTCCTGGCCGCTTACCACGAGGCTGAAGTCCAGACGTGATGGAAAAGCAGGACGCGCGGCTTGCGGGTAGAATCTCCAAACGTGCCGGGTGCGGTCGAACTCTGATACAAGCACAAGCTGTCACACTACCGACACGGGACTGGAGAATGCTGCTGCAAATACTCAGCAGAAGACTCGCAATGCCAGCCAAAATTCCCATTGTTCTAGAGGAATACAAGTACTCCATTGTCTGGATTACGCTGTGTTGCGCACCGTGAACATGAAATCTCTCCGCTTTGCCATAGCTCTGGAGCCAGCCCAGCTGCGACACTTCCCGTCCTTTAGGTTCTGGTCCAGACGATGAGCACGCCTGAATGCTTGTTCGGCGGTGCGCTATGAGGCATTTCTTGACGACTCCTGAAGGATCAGGGGTGTTTTAGCGTGTGAGGCGTCAGCATGACGATCGCAAACCACCAATAGAAGGTCGAAGATATGAAACTTGTGGTATACTGGTGAGATACAACGTTTGGACAAGACCGCACAAGCCTTGACAAGCAACACCAAGCTTTTTCGACATACATGGTGTTGTGGATCAGTCAGCACTGCCAAGTGCCAAGGCCTAATTTCCTAGCGATATATGTAGCCTTTGGCTTAGACAGAAACTTGATTCCTTTCCTTATACAATTCTATAGTCAATTAATTAATAACTTGTTCTGCTTAGCTTAATTACAATAGGTTATAAGCCCGGCGTATACGCTTACCTATCCTAACTAATATAGACGAATTGTTATTATAGAGATACTAGTTTAAAGCTAATTCTACTAGCTATAGATTAAGTAGTACCTCTAGAGTTAACTACCGAAATAGGGCTACCCTACACTTAGTACTAAATTAGATCTAACTAGCGATTAGCACCTATAAGCTAAGCGAGCTAAGAAAGAGCTTAGTAGTATAGCTAATACTAAAGAATCCGTAAAAAGCATAAAGGAAAATCGCATCCTTACGAGGACGACTAACTTTTTATTATAGAGACAGATCCTTTAGAAAGAGCTACTAAAGGAGAAAGTATATAGATATATACTTTATAACTTAAAATAGGCAAAGCTATACTATAAACCTCTTAGAATCGACTACGTTAATAATCCGGATTTCGATAAAGCCCTAAGAGAGTTTATAGAGAAAGATAGCATTACTATAGGCATTCTAGTTAAGATAATCTTACTAGATCTAAGACCTAACTTTAGGAGCATAATTACCTAGAAGACTACTAAGGACTACTACGAGACTATAGCAGCTATATACTAACTAATTATTACAGTAGATATCTATAATACCCTAAAGGATTTTAGAATAGTTACTCTTAAGCAAGCAATATCTAATAGTACCCTTAGGTACTATAAAGACTTCTAAGTATAGGTATAGAAGTATAAGATAGCTACTAAGCAGTTTAAAAGAGTATATAGTATTAAGCCTAAGGATATTAAGATCCTAGACATAATAATTAGGATACTCTTTATTAATAGTCTTTAGCACTATAAATAGCTTAGAAGCTAGAGGCATAATAACAAACTAGAAGGGACTAGCTAGACTCTCGAAGCAATAATTATATCCCTTAGGAAGGAAAAGCCTCTAAGATTATAGAACTAGTAATAAGGCAAAGCCTTTATAGTTGTCTCTAATATTAAGGTTAGGGATAACAATAAGCAGTATTAGCACTACAAGCATAAGTATACTAATATAAAGTGCTAGAAACAATATCCTAATAGAAAGCTATCTAAGGATAAGGATAAGGATAAGTTAAAGAAAAAGTTAAAAGACAAGGACAAGTCTAAATTAAAGGGCAAGGATAAATCTAGGTCTAAGAATAATACTATAGCTGCTAGAAAAGGTAATAGCAGCGATAATAACGATAAGTGTGAATTAGATTCTAACTCGGAAGGCTAGGCTTTAGGGGTATATATTGCACTAACCCTAGCCTAAGTATCCTTTAATTAAAGTCTAACTCCTATTATATTAGTATTCCCTAAGAACCTAGACAAAGCAATCAAAATCTAGGATACTAGCACATTATACTATATGTTTAACAATAAGGACTAGTTCTATAACCTTAGGTCCCTAGACTTACCTACTAAGTTTAGCCTTGCTTTAGGCAAAGGAAGCTATAGAATAATTAGGGACATTTACCTTAAATTCCTTTAGAAAGACAAAACTATAAAGATAGTGCTTAGAGAAGTGTTATACTCGCCTAACTCTAATATAAATCTAATCTTAGTAGAGAGGATCTATAGGAAGACTAGATACTTCCTATATAGGCTAACTATAACTATCTAAAGAAAGGATAGTAGGGTTATTAGAGAGGCAAAGATTAACAATATTGTAATAGTCTTAAAGCATATTAGGATTGTTCCTCCTAAGAGCTAGCTAGCTATAATACTAGTAGTTGCCCGACTAAAGGCAGATACTGTTAGAGTATATTAGAGACTTAGCTATATTAGAAGCAAGATACTAAATGCAACTAAAACCTACTAAGATTGTCTTAGCATTAACTATATTAACACTACCGAATTAGGGCACTATAAAGCCTATAAGCTTGCAAGATCTTAGAGGATAGTCTTAAGGATTATAAGAAGGACTCTAGTTTAAGCTCTAGATGAAATCTATATTAATATTATTAGACTAGTTACACCTCTAGATATCTATAGGAACCGCTACTTATACCTACTAACTTATATAAAGACAAGGCATAGATAGGATAATAAGACCCTAGACCTAAAAAATAGTCCCGCTCTTATTAAGAAATAGATAAACTAGTAGTCTAATTAGTTTAGCAAAAGACTAAAGATCTGGTTCTTAGACAATAGGGGCTAGTTTAACAACAAGCACCTTTAAAAGACTGCTAAAATTAAGGGGTATAGGTAGGATTTCTTAAGCCCCTACATACCTAAACAAAATAGTATTATAGAGTTATCTAACAAGACTATCCTAATAAAGGCTAGGGCTATGCTTATTAATGCAGGTTTACTACAAGAACTATAGAGCTATGCTATCAAGCACTCTATACACTTAACTAATAGACTAGCTAATCTAATAACTAAGGAAGTTCCTCTAGTCTATCTTAAAAGGGATTTAAAGTAAGGGGGAACCCTAGTAGATCTGTCTAGAGTTAGGAGATCTAGTTGCAAGGTATATAAGTATATTAGCAAAGAAGAAAGGCTAAGAGGCGCAAAGTTCATATTAAGAGCTCTAATCTACTAGAGTACCAGATTCTAGAATTACTCTTCGATAAACTACCTCCTCTAGAGGCCTTAGTTCGACTATAGAAAGGGACTACAGTAGCATAAGATTAAATTCTCCTATTATATTACCTTTAATAAAGATTAAACCTACGGGGATAAAGGTAGAAAAGTAAATCTAGCCCCTCCCTATATTTAAGTTATTAAATACTCTTAGTTAGGGATTAACCCTAGTAAATCTAGAGTAGTATTAGGATTCCTACCTAATATTAAGCAAGCCTAGTATAACTAGCGGCTAGTTGATAAACCTATTCCTTCTAGAAGTGCTAAAGAGCCGTTTTAAACACCCTCGGGGGAGCTAATACCTTTAGGGGAGCTACTACCTTTAGGGGAGCTACTACCTTCGGGGGAGCTAATATCTCTTTAGAGGGAGCGAGTTCTATTAGATCTAGGAAGCCTAGTTAAAGAGACCCGGGAGCTACAGGCCCCTAATAATACTAACTAACATTAGTCTAAAGATAAGGATATACTAATAATATACTAACCTAACTAGTTAGCAGGTTAGAAGAGGCTAAGAGCCGCCTTACTACTAGTAGCCTAGGAAGTTGCAATAAGGCTAGTCGTATACTAACTAAACTAGTTAGCAGGACAAAAGAGGCTAAGAAGTGCCTTACTACTAGTAGCTCTAGGAACTGTAATAAAGCTAAGGTACTCCGACCTTATAGATATACCCCCTATAATATCCTTAAGAGGTAGGTAAACAAGGAGACCTAACTATAGCAATATAGCTAGGGTCCTAAATACTGCCCTTAGGAGATTCCTAAAGAAAAAGGCTAAGAAGCTAGAGGAGGGTAAGCTATCTATACTTTATAAAGCACTAAATAGTATAGATACTAAGCTTTAGAGGGAAGCTATTACTAAAGAACTTAAGTCTTTAGACAAAACAGATACTCTTAAATAGATCTCTGCTAAGGAACTCCTAAAGGGAAGAAAACCAATATTAAGCAAATAGGTCTAGAAGATTAAGCGCTTACCTAATAGTTCTACTAAGAAGTTTAAGGCGAGATATATAGCTAAGGGGTTTACCTAGAGGAAAGGTATTAACTTCGAAGAAACCTTTGCTCTAACCCTAAGAGCTATAATAAGCAGATTCTACTTAGGACTTTTAGCTACTTTTAGCTAGGTTAGATATTAAGTAGATGTTAAGGCTACATTTCTAGAACTAGACATTAATAGACCTAACTATATAAATGCACCTAAGGGGTTACATTTAATTAGAAAGGACCTAGAGAAATTTCTATATATAATTGTACAGAAAGGCTTATATAGTATAAAGCAGTTAGCTACTTTATAGTACTACGATACTAAAGCTACACTTAAGACCCTTACTTTGTACAAAACTAAGAGCGATGCCTACCTCTTTATTAGAGAAGGGATTATAGTTATCCTTTATATTAATAACTTTCAGATCTTTAGCAAGACCTAAGCTAGGATTAATAAGCTAATTAAAGGTCTTAGGAAAACCTATACTATTAAGGTTGTCTAGACAAACCTTTTCCTAGGACTGTATATTATTAAAGATAGCATAAGTCTTAGAATCTCCTAGAAGCACTACTCTCTATATTAGAGGTTATACGTGATTAGTATATAACTAGACCGAGTAAAGCTAGGGTCCTAATGCCTTAGGTAGGGCTTAGCGCTTAGCGTTAGGCTAACTAGCCTGCCTTCCTCCCTCTCCTCTTAGATCTCTATCGAATACTATACTAATTCACTACTACCCTATCTACCTGCTAATATAACCCTTCTTATATAGTATTCGATCTACCCTTTAAGGGCAGTAGCTAGATAGTTCTTATTTCTAGCTTTTAGCGGTATAGCTACGAACAAGACTAATCTAACTATATTGCGCCTAAAGAACGGGACCTATACGTACTATTCTATCGAAACAACCGTACTAATTATTAAGCAAGGCCTTCTATACGGCCTATTATACTAAGTTAATCGCACTAAGCCTATACCTACTAATTCCGCTATATCCGCACCTTAGGGGCCTATAATATATTATTAGTATTACCCCTTACAATAGCCGGCTTATTACGAAGTAACAACAACCGCGGCGCCGCTAGCAGCGCTAGTAATAACAACGCTAGTAGCATAGTTCCCGCTAAAGTGCCTGCTAAAGTGCCTCCTACTAAAGAGCCTACTAGAGGGCCTACTAAAGAAGAACCTATAATTCTAGGTAATAATCTAGAATTGCCTATTAACGATATTCTTAATAACATTGTCAATCGACGATATAGCTAGCTAGCCTTTAGCCCCTAGCTAGTAGCGAGACTTTAAGAAGCTACTTAGAACAGGCTTACTGCCTTACGTTAAGAACAATAGCTAAAGGATAATCTCCTCGAAATTCGCCGCCTATAGTATTAGCTAGTAACCGGCCCTATACCTATAGGCCAGTTTTAAGCCTATATAAGAGGCCTCCTTCTGTAGAGTAGACAGATTGTCAACCTCGTATAGCACATTGTTTATGTTACACTTCTATAATGCCTATATTATAGGGCTCTAGTTATTAGCCTAAGCGATAGTCTCGTTATCCTATCTTGCTAAATATAGCTACCTATATTGCTATAGGTTATGTTACCCTCGGTAGCCTATACTGTTGCTGTGAGTAGTAGCAGCAGTATTAGTTTCCGTCCTTTATTAGAGCCGAAGGTAGGGCTATCTCTTTATATCTAACAGGTTCGGGTATGTTAAAGGTAGTCTCTAGGCACGAATAGCTATAACCGAAGCGAGGGCACGATAAGAGCCTACGATACGGACGATACTAAAGTATCTCAAGGGGCCGTTACGACAAGTAGAGAAACCTCTTAATAAGGGCATCGCTTTAACCCCGAAAAGCTACAAACCCTTAGGACTGTTATAGCTTAGGGCCTAGTCTATAACTATAGCTAGCTTCTAAGGACTCGGCTCCGGGTCGAAGACCTATTTAGTACCGCTTGCTCGAGATAAGCCCCGCCTAAGGAGGAGACAGACTAATTACCTATCGGCCTTGCTTAGTTTGCTAAGACTATCTATACGATAGCAATTTCTAGATTACAGGTCGGATGCCTAGACAGTTCCCCTATTAACCGGGTAGACTGTTTCGGGATTCGCTGCCTCGTTCGGATAGTGCTTAGCCTTCTACTAGAAAAAGAAGGTCCCCGCCCCCCCCTACCTAGCTAAAGGAGATAATAATAGTTAGTAAAGTAGCTAGTTTCTAGGATCTAGGTATGAATAGAGATTGCAGTTCCTTCCTCCGAGCGGCTTTTATCTAAAATTACTAAATTAAAGCTCCTAGGGGTATCTAGGCGACCCCTAGGAGGCTAAACTCTAATACTACCCTAGGGGTAATATTAGAAGAAAACAGCCTAGTATACTATTCTCTCGCATAGCAATATCGAAACAAACCGAACCTATAACATATACTAAAAACACTTTCCTATAGCATTTTATTTTAACTACTTTACGACAATCGAATAAGCTCTAGCTCTAGCGAAAACAAGTATTACGAATTAGCGGAATCTTCGGAATCTAATAACCCGCCGGACCCTATTAACGAAGAAATTAGGCGACGACTAGTTATTATAAGCGCTATCGACCTAGGGGCTATCGAGCCTTCTACGCCCGAGGCTCTCTATAATGTCGTTATAAAGATAATTTAAGGGTAAACTAACCTTCTCCGTTAGAATAGGCGTCGCCCGCTAGAGCTAGGAAGCAGTAGGAACCCTTTATTCGAAGGGTAGAACGCTACGGCGCACGTAGAACGCTTTAAGGACAACTTAGCCGAGTACGGACTCGAAGAGGAGTCGGACTAGTACAAGGTCCGGTCCCTTACGAGGACTACTATTACTAAGCTTTACCGAACCCTTAGAACCCTAGTTAGCTACCTAGAAAAGGACGACAAGTCTAATACCGACTAGGAGGTCTTTAAGTAGGCCTTTATAAGGGAGTATCGGGATTGCGATAGCCGTCGCATTAAAGGCAGTCGTACGTAGCTTAAGAACCTCTGTATAGAGAGGCGTGCCGAAGATAACGACCTAAAGGAGTACGTCCGCGAGTTTGTTAAGTTAGCGGACAGTATCGACTAGTAGGACTTCGAGAATTCTTAGAGAACAAGGCTACTCCTTAAAGGGTTACCGTAGTCTACGGCTAAGCGTATCTTCCGTCGCTACAAGCTTAGCGAAGCTAATCCCGAGACCTTTAGGAAGTATAAAGAGGTCCTAGAGGCTGTTAAGGACGATATTAATAGCTCCGCTAACGCAAAGAAGTTTATTTACGGCGAGGACCGGAATAACCTAGCCTAGGTAAGTATTACGGATCTGATTAGTTAGAGTCCTTATATAATCTTAGAGCGACGCTAAGACTAGTAGGCTAAGCTGTCGCTCTATCTTACTAGGAGCGATAGGAGCGGTCGAGAGCGACAGCGTCGCTCACGTCGCTTACGACTATAGACAAGATGTCTCCTTTGTATTTAGGAACGCCGGAATGCCCTTATAGCTCGAGGCGTTCAACTTATATTACTTACTTACTAATTGGAATTACCTTTGTACTAATTATTCTGTCTCTGCCTCCCGCTTGTGTTAGCCTCTCTAAAGAAGCCTCGGCTTGTACGTAATAAGAAGTCACTTAACGATCTGTCGCGAGTAACCGTAACACTTTAAACGCCCTTAGGATAAGTGCCTTATTACAAGTCGGAAGGGGAACTCCCGCCCCTAGCGAGACAGGTAGTACTCGACGTACTACCTCTAGTGCTAGCAATGCACTCGGAACCTATACTAGAAACGATTCTCTTAAGATCGGAAAGCTAGACTTTTATTACGGCGACCGAGACAAGTTCGATACCTAGGTTAGCTAGATAGATATATATTTCATATTTAACTAGGTTTAAGATAACTTAAAGCTAGTCTTCGTAACGACGTTTATACGAGGCAGGGCTTAGTATTAGGTTAAACTATTTCTTAGGACCTATCTAGATAGCAACGGGACCGACAATTCGGATAGAATCTTCGCAAGCTACGAAAATCTCAAGCGTGCGATAAAGAAGGTCTTTAGATCTTCTAACGAAGTTGCTACCGCAGTTAGGGTTATCTAACACTTAACTTAGAAGGGGTTATATACCGATTACGCCGCTAAATTTTAGGAATACACCTAACTTACGGATTAGGACGACGAAGCTCTTATAATAATATATCGGCGAGGTCTTAAGGATAACGTTAAAGACGAGCTTATACGCGACGGTAGAAAAATGGATAATATAGGAACATTAGTTAAGGTTACGATCGATCTCGACGATAGGCTCTACGAACGAGCTTTAGAACGACGTTACGATTCTAAGACTTCTAGAAAAGCTAGTTATACTCCTAGATACGATAATAGACGAAACTATAGTACCTACGATAAACCAAAGGGGAACAACTACTACGGTGCGCAACTAATAGAGCTAGACGCTACCTAGAAGGGTCGAGCAATTAAAGGAAGAAAAGGCAAGAGTTCGCCTAAGAAAGCAGGAAGATTGACTTATTATACGTATAGCAAGGAAGGCTATATAGCACGGAACTACCGCGGCAAGAATATAGTGCGACGCGAACAGTTTAATATAATATAACGAAAGGACCCGGGCAGAGAAGGCTACCGAATAGTAGTAGAGCTATACTCTATTAATAACGCGCCGAGGACCTACGCAGAGGTCGTAAAGAAAGAGCTACGACAAATCTGTATAATAGCACGACGACAAGAACCTGTATATAGAACCCTTTACTAGAGATTCTGTTACGACGACTAATGCCAAATTTATTATTCTGCTAAAGTAGAAGCAGGATTCTTCCCTTAGATTAGGCGACTTATATAAGAAGATGCGAAATCCTAGTTAGAAGAAGAAACGATTAATAAATCTTGCTTAGATACCGACGATAAAGAAAACCGAGATCCGGAAGCTTCATTCCCTCCCGGGGAGGAGTTAGGAGCTATCCTAGAAGTACCGGAGTCCCCTTAGCAAGAGGAGGAACAGTAAGAAGATTTAGAAGGAAGTCTAGATACTAAGGAAGAAACTACGAATAAAGAAAGTAAAAACGAATTCGGGATTAACGACGATACGATCCTTACGTTCATAATAGATGTACCTATAGTAGCGCGAACAATCGCCTTATATCTAGTACGCAAATACGAGGAAATGTTTCTAAAGGTTAACAAACAACAGAGGGTCGATCCTATCTAATTTAATTATTTTTAGATAAGCTTACGGGCAAAATTCTAGAATCACCCCCGGATACCTATAGACTATGCGTACTATAACTTCATTACGGAGCGAGTACCGATAGGAAGTATAATTACGCCCTACGGATACGTCCTATCCGACGAAAGGACGATTATTACTTAAGATATACGTTAGACGGTCTAGCGATTAAATTAGCAATACCGAAAGGCTATAGCAGCGTAGGGACAAGATGTATATAACGATACCCTCGAGGAAAAATTATATGCCGAAGAAGCACGAACGGCAGGACTACGGATCCGTAACTAGTTAGAACAACGTTAGGCTACTAATTAGTCGGGAAACGGACTAACTCTCTAGATTAGAGCGTTCTAAGAGAGTTCCTTAATACCGAAAGCGCTCAAGCATTAATAGCAGTCTTCCGTACAAAAGTTATCGTTAACGGGCACCCGACGAGTATATTAATAGATTCCGGAGCGAGCGGGAACTTTGCCTCCGAATTATTCGTTAAAAGCCGAGGGATCGCAACCCGAAGCAGAAGAGAAGGAGCGTATAAACTTATAGCAGTAGATAGGTTACCGCTACCTAATATAGAACGAGAAACGATACTGTTACTACTAGCTATCTAATAGCACTACGAGGAGATTGTCTTAGATGTTACTAATATAGCCAGTTATAACATTGTATTAGGTATACCTTAGTTAAGAAAGTATAACCCAGTCGTAGACTAGAGAAAAGGAGTACTTACATTTAAGGAATGCGACTGTATAATCGGTATTTAACCTATATAGTAGCAGCGTTCGTAGGTAGATGAGATTGACAAACGTAGGGCGATTCGTAAGACGTTTACGTCGATAGGAATTACGGAGAACCGTATTCAACCCGGATCGACACTACCGTTAGGTTAGGAGGGTTATAATAATAATTACGGGAAGGATAGAAGTTATATACTATCGAAGAATGAAACTAGAATCTCGGACCTAGACATTCCTAAAGAGTATAGTAAGTAGAAGCGACTCTTTAAAGAGGAGAGAGGCAAGGCAGCCTTACCTAAACACTAACTATAGGATTATAAGATACACTTACAGCCTAGGAAAGAGCCTCTATAGGGACCCTTATACGCAATATCTAAGAAAGAGCTTAAAACCCTAGACAAGTAGCTGAAAGAGAAATTAGAAAAAGGCTAGATACGGAAGTCGATATCCTCGGCAGCCTTACTAGTAATGTTCGTTCCGAAAGCCGGATTAGACGAAGGACGGCTAGTAGTCGATTTTAGACGACTTAACGACATTACAATTAAGAATCGGTACCTACTACCGAACATCGAAGAAATGTAAGACCGATTAACTAGATTAGACTAGTATACGAAGATTGACCTACGCGATGCGTTTTACGCAATACGTATAGCAGCTAGATACGAATAGATAACAGCATTCCGTACAAGATATAGGCTTTACGAATTCTTAGTTATGCCTATAGGACTTACAAATGCCCTAGCGTTATATTAAGACCTTATAAACGAAGTTCTCCGAGACCTTCTAGATGTATACGTTATCGTATATATAGACGATATCTTAGTCTATACTAAAGGAGCTCTCGCGGACTATATACGAATAGTACAGGACGTCTTTAAACGATTTACTTAAGTAGGATTTAAGACTGCACCTAAGAAATGCGAATTCTATAAGAAGGAAGTCAAATTCCTAGGATTTATTATTAGTACTATAGGAATTAGGATCGATCTAGAAAAAACCAAGTCAATACAGGAATGGCTAACGCCTACATACGTTAAAGACGTACAATTATTCCTAGGATTAGCTAACTATAACAGAAAATTCATCGAGGGCTACTCTAAGATAGCGGCACCCCTTACGGAGCTTATAAAGAAGGACAAGAAATAGAACTAGAGCACGAAGGAAGACGAAGCGTTTAGGCAGCTAAAGAAGTAATGCGTTTCTACGCTAACGCTACGATTATTCGATAGGAATAAGGCGGTCTAGATAGAAACAGACGCGTCGGATAGGGCTATAGGAATATACCTTATATAGGAGTATAACGGGAAACGATACCTAGTAGCCTATTACTCGAGAAAGATATTACCCGCGGAACAGAACTACGATATCTATAATAAGGAGCTACTTACAATAGTTACATTACTGCAATACTAGCGAGTATACGCGGAAGGAGCACTAAGTCTTACGATTCTTTCTAATTATAAGAATCTAACTTACTTCACTACGACTAAAGTACTAACCCGGAGACAGGCCCGCTAGTCGGAGCTGCTAGGACAGTATAAGTTCGAAATCCGCTATATCCTAGGACGCGAGAACGGACGAGCCGACGTACTAAGCCGCCGTAGCGACTATATAGAGGGTTACGAACTAGTATAGCAGCAGATATTAAAAGCAAACTAAGACGGAAGCCTTAGTGCTAACACAAAAGAATTCAACTACATTATACGAGTTCTTTAGGATATAGAAGAACAGTTTCTAATCGAACATAGGAAATACTAAGTACCTAAGGAACGAGTTACGGAGTATATACGACAACACTACGACGGACTAGAAAATAGACACCCTAGAGTTTCAAAAACAATAGAACTAGTTAAGCGAAGCTTCGGATTCCTACATATGCGACAACGAGTTCTAGAATATATTAAGAAATGTCTACAATGTTAGCGTAATAAGGCTAATAGACACGCTAGATATAGACATATCCAATTTAGGACGCTACTAGATAAACTATAGGACGAAGTTACAATAGACTTTATTACGAAACTACCGAAGTCTAAGGATCCGGTTATAGGACATAGCTACGATATAATACTTGTTATAGTCGATAGGCTTACGAAATACGCACACTTCATTCCTACTAACGAAGCAAGTACGGTAGAGCAACTCGGATACCTCGTACTAGATAGACTTATACGATACTACGGATTTCTAAAGACCTATATTACGGACAGAGACAAGCTCTTTACGTTAAACTACTAGAAGACGCTTACAGCGACGCTTAGAATTAAGCATAAGCTATTAACGGCATACTATCTATAGACAGACGGCTAACCGGAAGTTAAGAATCAGGCCTTAGAGGTATACTTACGGCACTACGTCAATTACGTACAAAACAATTAGGCATCGCTATTGCCTATAGTACTACTTGCACTAACAACCAACAATC